ACAGAAATAGCTTATTGGTTTAATTTAAATAACATAAACTACTCTACTAATTATTACTGAGAGAAAAAAAAACTGTTGGTAAAATTCGAAATTAATGAAAGCAAATCTATAGAAGTCATTTACCAATGTAAATTGACATAAATAACTTTACGCAGTTAATTTTATTTTATTTAACCAGTAATAAAAAACATGATTAAAATAAAGTGGCATTGTCGGTGGGCAGGGAGAGCACTGCTTCAAGAGTACAGTCGATATGTGGGCCTTGGAGGACTTCTCTTAGAAAAAAGGTCATCTTCACCTATATAATGTGCAGGTTGGTACATGGACACTTACTATTGGGCCAAAACCCACGTATGTGTACGGCATGCAGAGAAAGGTTGCTTGATGTGTCCCACTTAATTGAAGGACGCAATTCCTTAGCTCCATACAGAGAGGGTTAGGAATGCCACCCTATATCAGAATTGTGCATGAGCACAGAAGCAAATATCTGAGTCCCCTGTTCCATTTATTGGAGGATGCAGGGTTTGTTTTGAATATATTTAAGAGTGAGTGGGAATGTGAATGGATTTAGGAACTGATTATGTTGGAAGGTGAAATGACATAACTGTTGGAAGCCCCGGGAGCCTTACCTCAGTATATGGACTGTCAACACCCTATTATAAATTACAAAAACTGGAATTCCCGGAGGACTGCAAGGTAGGTTGAAATATGGATAGATATACAAAATGATAAAGATAACATAAATAAATAAATCAACTAAAATATACAAAGCAACGCTCAAATAATGCTTTCCTACAATGCAATAATAAACAGTAAGTTTTATTCAAAAATTTTTCCTTGGGGAATGATAAAATAATTTCTGATGAGTTCATTTTTTTACATATCACGACGTGAGATAACAAAGTGACATGTAAACAGATTATGAATCATGCGCTTTCTAAAAAATTTGTTTTTTGTTCTATAATAATTGATTTTGAAAGAAAAAATATTTAATTTTTTCTAATACCCAATAGAAAACTTTACTTACATATTCACTGAATGAAATGGTATTAACGAATATTTAAAATTGTTGTATTTATCCTGTTGGAATCTAATGGCCCTCATTATACTCATCCAGAAATAGACTATTCTTTGAAAAACTGGTTCTAATGAGAACATTTTCACCCTGACATGGCAATGTAATGGGTTAAAAATGCCTACGATAAAAGTTGGAATGTGTAATTATTTAAATGAATTCATATAGCTGATAACTCCTTTGTAAAATAAGCTTGTAAACTCAATGAGAATTTTCACTTTCTTGTTTATTTGTTACTTTTGCTTTTGTACTCTAGGCCTTTTTAAAAAATAAGTAAATATGAAAAAAGTTTGAAACCTGATACAAGGGAAAATAATTTTAATGGTGCAATAAATAAAAATGTTTCCATGAAAGGTTCATTGCTTAATGATGAACGGATCGTATGAGTCAACTCTTCATCATTTTAATACTGTTAAGCATGACACTTGGTCATTTTTATGTTCTCTACTTTACATAAAATAGGAATAACAGCATAAAACAATAATGGCAATGGCAAATATAAGAATCTTTAATAAAATCTTGTTCTTTTTTTAATTGAATTTTTAATTGGAATAATTAATATGGTCAAGAATGGCCACTAAACAAATATAGATTATCTAATAATTAGAATTAATAAATAATAAAACCCTGGCGTTATTTTATTTTTTGAATAATTGAATAAATCTCGAAAAGTGAAGTACAGTATGTCGCCAGAAGACCCCACATAGTTTCCCAACCTGTATACCCAGCAGATTTAAAAATATCAATTTCAAACATGGCAAAAGAAGAATGGAAAAACCACTGGGCCCGAAAAATAAAAATAACCCTGCAAAACTGTGGCAGATTAAGAAAGACGGGACCACAGAGAACGGGCTTTTTAAAAAAGAAAAGGCCAAACTGACAACACTGCGCATAGGTCGTACAAGAATAATTCACAGGCTCCTTGTGGAAGGAAAGCCACTGTGTTATACAAGGATAAAATAATGGCTGAGCATCTTTTTAATTATAGAAGGCTTGACATACATGGTCTTAAGGTACGGCAGCAGTCACAGATCGTTGTTCCGGTACTTCAGGGCTATAGGAATTTTTAAATGTACATAGAGGTTTATGTGTATTTGTGTTGTGTTTATGTTAATTTATTGGAATGAATATAATTTATTAGCATGAAAGGAAGAGGTGCTAATGCCACCCCAAAGAATATTGAGTACTTTGGGGTGAGTGTGTGACGTCTGGAAAGAAAAGTAAGTATTAGCGACCATGAAGTGGGGTCAACCCTGCTCTGAGGAATATTGATTCTCTGGGGGAGTGACTATGATCAGACTTCTATGTTTGTATAGGGTGATGATGTATATGTATTATTTGTACAGTGTCTAATCTATACTTGACAACCTGAGGTACAAACAAGAGCCTAGCATTTTAACATATCGACTTAGTCTTCATACAAAAGCAGAGAATCAGTAACAGATCAAGACACTTAAATGGATGCAGATTGAAAAATACATGTGAAGACCAAGACAGGAAAAGAAGTACAAATACGAGGGGGTTGGCGAGGACCTCACCTGTATATCGACCCACTAAACTACCCAAATTATTTATTTCAACACACAAGGCAATTATCTTAAGTTCCAAATAAGAAATGTGAAAGACAATAAAAATAGGTTGCTTATGATATTTTGTTGCTTAACAGTTACGCCCTTGACTGGGTAGACACTACTTATCATTGTTAAACTGTATTAATTCCGGCAGATTACTAACTTGTTTTTCTTCCTTGTCCTTGTACTGTTGTACATTTACATGTACTTAATTTTAAAAACATATCTTAAAAATTATTAGTAAGTACAAATCGAAAAATTAAATCAGGGGAAATAATTACTTATCTAAACAAGATAAAACAAAATAAGTTCATTAAACTTCCAAATACAATTGAATTCCTAACAGTACAGTACATCATACTTTCTTATTTTTATATGCTGTACTGCTTAATGCAATAACAATAAAAACAGTAATTGCAAATATAATAATCATTAAAAAAATATATCTTACCTTTCATTTTTAATTGGACATGGAGACAAATTAGGAAGATCAAAAGAATCAACAGTTGCCATTGTCGCAGTTATTGGTTCAGCAACTAGCTCAAAGTCAAGTCGATTTACTTATAATTAATCATTATTATCAATTAATTTCGAAATTAAAATTTATTACTGAAAATTTGTGATTTACAAAAACTACAACTATTTAAATTTCTGTCTTAATGTAACAATGATTTAACCTCTGCTTTGTTATCTCTTATCATAGCAATAACAAGTATGCATTGTAATGGCGGTAAAGAAGGCTAACTTTTAACTGGCAAGGCTGCATCATTATCTTACATTCTTTTATTACATAATAAATATTTTTAATTTGTTTTGCAAAAACAGCATGCTTATTACGTGATCTATCGTTAATTCATTTTTTTTACAAACAAGGCAAATAAATCTATCATTTAAAAAAAATATTCTCTTGAGTTTTATTAATGTTTCACTACACTGAACTATTTTAGTGGCAAATGTTAAAAATTTGGATAAAACAATCCAGAAAAAATTGGCACACTGAATGTTTTATATTTTTTTTATGTATTTGCCTTTTCAGTAATTTTAACGTTTATATTTTTTATAAAAAGATTTGGGGTGTGAAAACAAAAAGAATAATTTAAAAAAATCCCTTTTGCGTGTGAAGGTGAACATAAAACAATATAAATTGAATTTGAAAATCTTTAATAGGGTGTTACCTACTCTCTCTTATTACACGTCTTATCTTCTTGGCATGCTCATAATTGTTTAACCAAATCTCAAGCAATTTCATCCCAAATCTCAACTAACGTTAACTTTCAGCTCACTAAAGTCGTAGGAGGGTTATTTCTTCGTTTTTCCCCAACATCCAAGTTTGTCTCGAATGTTCACAAAGCCAGATCAGGTCAGCTAGCCCACTGGGCACTCTCAACACGACAGACAAGAATGATCTCTACACGGAAAACAAACACTTTGAGCCCTGAAGATGATCTCAATAATGATCGAAACGTTGGCACGATAAGAAAATGTTTTTCTAAAACTATGTCACACCAGACCGCATCTCACGACCTCCAAATTATCATCAACACAATGGTGAATAAAGGCATTTTTAAAGGATTAAATTTAACATTGTGGCAATGGCGAATTAAGCAGTTTTGCCTCACAATTGATGACAACAAATACTTGCCTTCTAATTACAATTTAAATAAGCTTACAACTTGTGATTGGTAGAAGGTTTCACACTTTTTTCACATTCACTTTTTCTACTTGAAATATTGTTAACTACTTTCACATCTTACTTTACATTTCAAATTTTTATTTTGCCTCTTCTGTAAATGTTCTCATTGTAATATGAGGTGGAGTAGTGGTGGTAGAGAAATTGTTACTTTCAATACGATGATTGAATTTATTCAAATTTCATATAAGTACAAAATTATACTCTTTCACTTAAAAATTAAGGTAACACCAAATCTACAAATTTTCATTACGAGAAAAAAAAGTGTTTTATTTACAAAGGAAATAAGTCTTACATAAATGGAAAAGTCTTCCAAAATGCACCAAAGAATTGGTTAGTTATACATATAAATTGTAGAATAGTTCATTGGGTCTGGACTTGCCAGAAAAAAATCTCATACAAATATAAATGATTTAAACAATATTCTTCACATAACTCGGGGAAAATATAATTAAATTTTTACCCTTTGAGTTAAATATAAACATTACAACATTAAAAACTGTCCTTGAACATTTACAAATGTTATTTATCATGAATCAGTTTTTTTTAAACAAAAAATTATTCTTTCAAAGCTAAAAAAATCCCCTTAGCAATGTCCACTTGTAAATTATCTAATACTCTTTATTATATCAATACACAAATTATGTACATCATCAACATGGCAAGTGCTAAAATATATATATTTAATTTACTGAAATCAATATGTATATTATATTACAGAAAAAAATTACAAGTAATATTACATTAGAAAATTCACATTCCTCTATGAAAAAGTACATATTTTAAGACTTAATCACGTTCAGTTTCCAATTCTAACCCAATGAATATGCTTTTTGAATTTGTTTTCAAAAGGCAGGATAAAATTTACACTGCAATGAAGAAGGTCACTGTCATTTCTTTATTGTCAACAAAATAATTTTATTTGCTTACTTTTCAGTATAAAACCTATCGCCTCCAAGATCGATCTTCATCTTCCTCATCTTCTTCCTTGCTTTGCATTATGTATGTCGGTGATTTGGCAGAGTATTGGCACTAAAAAATAAATAAATAATAATAGTACATAATAAAGTGGATTTTTGTTGATTAGAAATTTGATAATTGAATTTCTTGATAATACGAACTCTTCAATAAGTCACTTTTGTAAATAAAAACAATCTGTGTATTGTGATACACTTAGTAAGACAGAATGTTTTTCATAAGAGGGGAGAAAGATCGTTATTGAAATGAAGGCACTTTCCCACTTTGTAATTTTAACTTTTTCTTTATAATATTCCTCTAAATTTCCATGTATTATTTACTTCCTTATAACCTAAAGTTTCTTTGAATTTTCTCTAGTATGTTATGCTCGGCGGTCAGTGTTCTGTTTATTATTTGTGTACTGTTGTCTTTTGAAAATCATTTACACAAAGGATGCCGCCAGGTCACATTGAAACCTAAACTGCTGCATTAATTTTTGTAATAATGCATAACAATGTTCAATTTTACAGGTGGTATCTATTTCCACTTTTTCATCATTTTTACTGTTTTATATAGAGATTATAAATGATGGGGTGAGTGTGGAGTTCAATCCTTTTTTAAAAAAGATGTTTTATATATGTACAATTCAAGTTTTAAGTTGTAAAAATGCTGATCAACTTTTGATAATTTGATTTTCCTTCCTCTCTATAATTCAAATTATTTTTAAGATCCCTTGAGTTTCGAATTATCAAGAGTAGGCTGTATAAACTATACAGTATTATGGATAATAATAATGAAAAAATAAAATAATTAAATTGTACCTCTTCGTCTTGGAATAAGTATGTAGGTGATGGTAAGTATTTGAACTAGGAAAAACACAAAAAATAAGTAATTGTTAAATGAAAATTTTTAAAAGTAATTTGATTAAAATTGTACCTCTTCATCCTCCTCATCTACTCCTAGAAGATCAGTTCTCAGTTCTTCTTCTTCTTCCACGACCATGACAGAACGATGGATTGGTGTAGCAGGTTTAGAAACCATATTACTTCTATGCAATAAATTTATTACATTAAAATAATATTTATACGTATGAATAAAGATTAACAAACCTAATGTTATTATTATGTGTGGCCCATGTTACAGATAACAAACGATCATGGAAATTCCTCCCTTTGGTTAATGCAACTTCAGCATCTTTCCTTAACTTGAAATTTAAGACTAAAGACGGTGTGGCATCATCAGAAATGTAGTCCACAATCTCACCATATTGCTAAACAATTAATTTGTAATTATAAATAATGTAAGAAATGTTATTAGTAAATAAATGTTAAATTATGATTTTTTTTAAACTGCCCTTGTTAACTACCCTAGTTCAACTACGAGGTTATATGGACCCTCGGTGTGCCGGTGTTTTGGAAAAAAAGACCATTTGTAAGTATGACAGGTTCGAATGCAGGGCTGCTGGATTAGAACGGGAACAGTGATGAGCACTGTGTCAACGCCTAAACCATTGTGGCCACCGATGCCCTCCCCCAAATATAAATAATATAATATGATGGGATTTTGTCACCTCGAAATGTTTAATAACTTCAGCCTTGTCGTCTTGTTCATATCCTGATACTAAAAGTTTCGTAGGCCTGTGGTCGACTACATTGTGATCAAAAGAAACACTGGTTCCATGTTTTATTCCACTTCGCCCTCTCCCTCGGCTATCAGTTGACAAAAAAAATATTATTATTTATAAACTGTAAGTATTTTTAAGTTTATTAAACATTGTGTAAATTTGTATGTACAATGTAAATAAAAAATAATTAGCAAGTAAATAAAATGTATTTAGCAATTGTTATGTACCTGATTCTGTGGGGTGTAGAAGAACTTCTACCTCGGTAAGGACCTTTGGGGAAAAGGCCTAAATTTATTACCCTCAATTTCAAATCAGCAACTTTTTTCTTTAGCTCATCAGTGTTTTTTCCTTCATGCTGCCTGTTAATTAAATCTAATTCTGCATCTAGAAGTTCTCTTTGGACCTAAGTGAGAATGAATGAAATAATTACTTAACTGCAGACCATTCATTGTTAAAATTTTCATAGGTGCACTTATTAAAATATAGAAAATTTCAACTAAGTTTATCTCTCAACGTTATTATTTCTTTCAATTAATTATTCTTTTCATGTAAGGTCTTGGTTGAGATGAAAAAGTGAGTGTCACGAGTAGGATTCGAGCCCCAGCTGAAGGTCGTGGGTTCAAATCCTGTTCGTGACACTAACTTTTTCATCTCAACAGACCTTACATAAAAAGAATAATTAATTGAAAGAAGTAATGTGATCAATTAGACCACTAAACATAATGGAGTTATTAATTATTCCATTGTGACAAAATTTTATAAATTTTGAACTTTTGTTTTATGTTAATGGTAAAAAGAAAATATTGAATGTTTTCAGTAGTATTATGTGAAAATAAAGTTGAATCTGACCCTTCACTACACAAAATATTTTAAAACTAAGAAATGTAATAAGATTTATTGGGTGTGATGAGTGAGATAATAAATTGTTAAAAAACAAGCTTAAATCTAAATAGATTCCAAAACTATATGGTTGAAGGATTTGTTTGATTTTAAAGTGTTTTTCTCAATTTTTTTTTATAGATATTATCATCCAACCAGTTTTGTTTACTAAGAGTTTACATTCTAGACTATGCAGGATATATTCTACCCTATATATCATGACAAATTTCCATATATCATATATATTTCAGTAGACTTGATTCCAAACTGTTCAGTTGTCAGTTTTTTTTCCCTCTAGTGAATGTAAATTAATGGGACGGGCAATTAACCATGGCATTCAAATATTGGATATAAATTATTATTTTCTAACCTCTTCTCTAGTTTTTTTAATTTGAGCTAGTTGTTCTTTAATAGTGTTTCGTTTGGAGCTCTTGACTAAATTGTTTTTTACTGAGCTTGCCAAGTCTTTCCTTATGTTCTCGATGCTTTCCTGAAGAGTTTTTATTGTTTCAATTAAAATAGCCTTTTGTTGTGGAGCTAACGTTGGCGATTCCGTTCTCTGGATAAGTAGCTTTTGTTGATTCAGTTGTTTTTCAAGAAGTTCTTGCTTTCTTTTCCTCAAATCCGCATTCAGTTTTATCCCTGCCTTTCTAGCTTCTTCTTGTTTCTTCTTTGCCGCAGTTATTTCTTCTAGTTTCTTCTTTACTTCTGTGTTTATCTTAAAAAATCAATCGATCGATTAATTCAACAAATTACAACATCATAAAATAAAATTGAGAAAAGTTACTTGTTCTTTATTTTCAGTCTGGATATCCATGTTTGCGTGTTCTTTTTTCATTGCTGATGGTATATAAAGTGTCTTGCTCAAACTGTTGTTAACTAATGTTACCTACAATTTTGAAGAAAACAAAAACAAACAAATTATTTAGAAAAGGAATGTGTGTGCCAATTGGAACAATTCAATGCTGACAATTGATTTAAAAAAATTATAATAAAAACAATAAAAATGAATGGAATTATTTTTTGTTTGAAGCAACAAATTTTCTAGATGTTCGAAATATAACACTCAATCAATAAAACAGTTTGAATTAAATGATAAAATAATTAAACCATATTTTTACTAATTTTGTATGAAATATTTAATAAATAATAAAATTATAAATTTAGTTAGATAATTTTAAAAAAATCCACTCAACCTAATTAGGATATTAAAGGAGTAAATAACTAAATATTTAATTTACATATTATAAGGCTTAAACTAAACAGCCATTGTGTCAGAACAAAAAGAAACTAGTTTTTAATAAAGCTCCACAAAATATATTTCTCAGTATAAGTCAAATAGAACTAAAGTTAACTTGAAGCATATAATGTAGTTTTTTTTTTTTAATCATACAACAATAATTAAATTCAGTGGCATACCAACAAAGAAAAAAACCTTTTAACCAATTAAATGTAGTCTAATAAAATTTAGTTTTTATTGTATAAAAAATCAGCTTTTTGATATTTGTGAGCTGTAAAAGGTATGTAATTAAAGAAATTGATGAAGCATATTCAAATATTTAAATGCAATTAAGAATAGTTAAAAAATAAATAAAAATTTTTTATATATGTACATGTTATATAACTTATTTTTAAAGCTAAGAATAGTTAAAATTAATATTAATTAACAAAACCAATATTAATTAAAAACGAGTCATCAATCACTTTAAAAATTTAGATCTCGATAATTATCCAACCTAAGCAAAGTATAAAATTATTAATTCCATTACTACCAATACCATATACAGGGTGAATTGCTGCTCGTGCTACAAACTTCTCCAGTAGATTCTTCACGCTAAAATGAACAAAAAAGTTCATATTGTCCATGGTCCGATTCTCAACCATTTCAGAGTAATTTCGCTTTTTATCGATTTTGAAAGATATCACGTCCTGGCGTCGGAAAATCGTGATATCTTTTAATCTAAACATTTCTCTTAAAATCTATAAGCACCGTTGAAATCCCCGTTAATTTTTCAATAAGAAGATGAAGGTGGCAAAACGTTTGGGTCTTTCTTCCTTGACCTTCTAGCTGTTTGTAAACTTCTTAAGCATTACATACTAAATGGGCATTAAATTAAATTAAAAAATTTCAATGGAATTATGATTTTGATTCTCTCTAAAAATTAACGGGGATTTCAACGGTGCTTATAGATTTTAAGAGAAATGTTTAGATTAAAAGATATCACGATTTTCCGACGCCAGGACGTGATATCTTTCAAAATCGATAAAAAGCGAAATTACTCTGAAATGGTTGAGAATCGGACCATGGTCAATATGAACTTTTTTGTTCATTTTAGGGTCAAGAATCTACTGGTGAAGTTTGTAGCACGAGTAGCAAGTCACTCTCAAACATTAGCAATCCTTGAACCACCATTTTTTCTCTTTTTGTCATCAACATCTTGGTCTCACAACCACTAAATAAGAAAATGACGAGTGCGTTGGAAGCGTTATTAAATCAGGTAGTTTTCCTCAAATTTGCTGCCTTCTGAGACTAAAATTAGAAACTCTGGATTACTTTATACACTTTCCGATTTACACAATTTTCCACTCTTTTTGTAGTTCTGGCTGAAATAAAACACAAAAAATTAGCCCAAACATTTTGCCACCGTCATCTTCTTATTGAAAAATTAACGGGAATTTCAACGGTGCTATTAGATTTTCAGAGAAATGTTTAGATTAAAAGATATCACGATTTTCCGACGCCAGGACGTGATATCTTTCAAAATCGATAAAAAGCGAAATTACTCTGAAATGGTTGAGAATCGGACCATGGACAATATGAACTTTTTTGTTCATTTTAGGGTGAAGAATCTACTGGAGAAGTTTGTAGCACGAGTAGCAATTCACCCTGTATATCTATATTTCCATATGACAGTATGAAATAAATAACCGTTTAAAAAATGAAACCATATTTAATAAGTAGTAATGTCTCTTTGTGTGGAAGATCTCAAAATGCTTGTTGGAAAAATATTGCATTTAACAACTGGTAAAACTAAATTGAATAATGTGGTAATTCATCAAAATATATAACATATCTCGTTACTTATGCACCAGATTTAGATTTGCCATTATGGAACCAATAAATTGAAATTTAACTTTGTACATGTAATATCTGTACATACATTTTTGGATTTTTAATAAATTATCTGTTAAATATATGGTATTGCCCTTAATAATTTCAATTAAATAATAAGTTTCCCAAGTTTGCCATTACAACTACTTTGTACATTTTACAAGTCTAATTTTTAAAAATTATTATTGAACCAAAGAAAGCAATGCAGAATGTTTTGGGTTTCAATTACCCCGGATTCAACATGGCAAAATAAGAGGCTTTTGCCATGATATGAACAATGACTGGGAGACCAAGCATGAGAAAAATAAAACAATTTTAAGCATTCTGATGTGCTTTAATTAAACAATTGTTTTAAGTAGATAATAATAATCTATATGTTAAACGTAATTAAATTATGGAGTAATTTTAACATACAGAAATTTCTGAAGCAGAACAAGTGAGTCAAATGATTTATTTTTCCATTAAGAAATAAGGATTCCTATTTTATTCTTCAATAAAAATAATTCAATCTACCATCTACTGCAACGTTTCAGCATCCTGTGCTATTTTCAAAGCAGTTTTAATTTGTTTTTTATTTGTTTAGTTTACATAAATGAAACATTTTAAAACGAAAATGAAACTTCCTATTTCATCTGAGCCAAATAAATTAAACTTCACATGTGAGTTAGTCCTGGGTATTCAAATGTTTATGCTATTAATGTAATTGACGCTCCATTTTTTCATAACATCAGACCTTTTAAGTAATATTATCATTTTTCATAAGTATATTTTAGTTGTATTAGCAACAATGATAGATATTTTTCACAATATTATGTGTAACAACTTTTGTTTGAAACGAATATACTTGATTATAGGGTCAAAATATGAGTGAGACTGAATTTATTTTGTTTATTCTTGTGCTCACCGTTTGCAGTTTCTAGTTTAATTAAATCAACTCAAAAAAATTCATTTTCACAAGCATTATATGTAAATAGACACAAGCATTTTCCTCCTCCCTTTTTTGTACCTTCTCTTCTTGTTGCTGTATAGCAGAAAGCTGGATGTTGTTCAATACTTTGGAAGGTGGAGCACCAAGCCTTTCTAATACAGAGGGTCGAGTTGCTGGAGGGATATTTTCCTGTTTACTCTGTACACATTACAAGACATAATAGGGGAGCTACTTGTTATAGTTAAAGAATGTTTAACAGAGAAAAACTACTCACCTCACCACTGTTGGCATTAACTGTTGAATTGTACCAAAACACTCTTATAAACCTGTTATTGAGTACTGCCTCAGTGCTTTTGATGGCGATGTTTGCTTCTGTGTGATTTGAAAAGGTAATAAGAGCAGATTCTGGATCACCATCAACTCCAACCTAAGTAATAAATTGTCCATAAATAAAAGGTAATTATACCCCACATCAGACGGAAAAACTTGAGTTATACTATTTTGTGAAAGTTGTACGATATTTTGAAACTACCGTGCAATAAAGCCTTTTATACAATAAATATAACTAATTAAACTTATTACTACAACTCAGCATTACTTTTCAATGTAAAGAATTAATCCAGAACAAAAAAATTGAATATACTGTTCTAAATATCTTCAGACAAATGTTATCTAGAATATTTATTTTGAAATTTATAAGTTGAAACAAAAATAAAATGTGTAAAATTGATTTTTATTCTACATACACTACCATTCCTAAGTATTTGCCCACCCCAACCCAATTTTTTATAAAATTTTAAAAGTTAGTCAACTATAAGAAATTATGGTATGTATAATTATAATTATTATGTATAATTTTTTTTAAACTTAAAATATCAAGAAATCAAAAGGAATAACAAATGGAGTATTTTCTGGGCTTAAACAATCTCATTTGTTTACTTTAATAAGGAAAAAAAGCTGTCATTCTCGGACTCTCAGAGTTTAGTTTTCCTTCACTTCTTGGACAGAATAACATCTCATGGAACAAGTATCAGTAAAAAAACACTCAATGCCAAAATCAAAAGATCCATCCCTAACCAAAGAACTAGGGAGCTGCGGTATCCAAGTGGTTAAAGCATCAGACTCTCAGCTAGTAGATCCCTTGGTTGTGGGTTCAATTCCCACCGTTGCCTCTGTACTTTTTTTTCCGATATCTAAGGGGACGATAGCCGCAAATGAAAGAAATGGACCCGGCACTCATCAATGAAGGTATGGGGCAGGATCGGATCTCAGCGACTGGAATTGGTCCCAACCCCCTTCAAAAATTAGTTTCTTCGGTGGAAGAACACTGCACACTAGGGGCTCAATTCATAAATGTTCTACGAGCCCCCCCCCCCCAAAAAAAGGAGCCAGTAATATAGTACAATAAGCTGTAGTAAACAGCTGCAATGCACAGGGGGAACTCCTCCATTTCCTGGTATTCATTGGAGAGAAAAGAGAAAAAAAGAAAAATAACAATAAAATAAATAAATAATCTAATGGAATGGGATAATAAAATACACAAAAATGGATAACTGAAAACTGGGAATGTCCTTTGGAGTGAGGAATCAAAGTTGAAGTTTTTGGCTTTGCAAGGTGAAGGGTGTCTTTGTACGCAAAACATCAGGAGAGCGAATGTCTGATGCATGTTTAATTTGGCAGTTTAAAACATGGATCTGTGATGTTTTGGTGGCTACAAGGTTGGGAACATCTACAGAGTTCAGGGGACAATGAAAAAAGAACAATACTTCACTATCATTAAAAATGAAATGTTGCCATGTGGGGGCAAGTTTTTTAGGCAAGAAATTTACATTCCAGCATGACAACGATCCCAAACACATTTCTAAAATTTGTATTTTTTAGGCAAGAAATTTACTTCCATTTTTGGAAACCTTTGCTGGACAAATGGAAGAAAATCTCAAAAACTAACACAAACATTGCCTAAACTTTATAAAGTAGCAATAAAAAATTGGAGAGGCTGTATTGAGGAGACTGATTTTTAATATGTTGCTTTGAGTTTTTATATTATATGTTGTTTGAAGAATATGTCTAGTTGTACTTTTTTAGCCATGGAATGTAAACCCCACCAAAATTTATAGATGGGCCAATATTTATGGATGGTAGTGTATATGAATATTACTTCTGTTATGTATAATAACAATAATTAATAATGGTAAATATTAATTCCTTCAATGCCCTACCTGGTCAACAATATCATGGCTTGCCGTGAAAAGTCTGATTCCTCACATTAATAGTATTAGTAATAATCCATTATAAATATTATTACATGACAATAATTATGTATTCATTAGCTATTAGCTGTTAATGTTTTTATTAGGAAAGTGAAATATACCCTGTTGTACAAGACCGTTTTTTATCTAATTATCCCCTAGGCAGGCCTCAAAATGATACAATTACATTGATTGAATCTTAAAATAGATTATTTTCTATAAAAGAATACTGTTTAATTTGTTATATTACGGCATTATAATTAGAATGACGATTTTGTAAAAGAAAAGATTTAAAAGTAAAGATCTCAGTTAGGGGGGGGGGAAATAAATAGAATTGGACAAATTTTTGTACATGACACTACTACTCTGTATATGAGAAAGACATTGAAATTACTACACTACCTGCTTACTTGGCCTTAAAACACATTAAAAATTGACATACTTGAATATTGACTATCTTTCCAAATTTGGAAAAGTGGTTGTTGAGATGCGTTATATTATTAACACCAGATGGAACTTTTTTCAACTGAAGCGTAGTGTTGCCACCTTTAGCTGAAAACTGGGTTCTGTTTCCTCCTACACGATTGTAATCAAAAGATTTTCCATTATTCATGGTGGCAGACATTGTACCCTATAAATTAATTAAAACGTCAATTAGTAACAATTCAAAATATTTAAACCAAAATCACTACATTTGTAAAATCGGATGTCTGATTAAGTGTTGGTCTTTGGTGCCGAAACTGTGGCCCTCCAGCTGTAACGACGTTTATTAGTTCTCTCTGATGCAGAGGGAAACCACCTCGTCCCATTGTCCCTCTTGTCATGCCTCTCAGCACTAAGCAATTTTTAGAATAAAATATAAAAATGTAAATATTACTATTTAAGTAAAGAAAATATATACTTGGTCCACCACGAAAAGGTGGTTGTCTCCCCCAAACTCTTGGTTCCATACTCGGTGCATCAGGATTGTATTCTAAAAGTAATGAAACAAGCATAATCATTTAAAATTCAGCAGATAGTTAAATAAAATTAAGACTAACCACATACAGATTCACTTTCTCTCTCTCAATATATAAATAATGTGTGTGTAGGTGTATGTGAACTTGTGCACATGCCATGCATGTACACATGTTAATGTTTATGTGTGCATGATATAGAGAAAAATAACTTAACATCAAAAAACAAAAGGAGATTTTTCATGCACCCATCAAAATAAAGTATTTCCTTTACCAATGTTAACACCAATTGGCGGTGGAGCTTGTAACGGTGGATGTGGGGTCGGATGGTGCATTAAATTAGGAGGTGGCACCTGAGGAATTATTGGTGGTTGCTGTGGAGGCCCGCCGTTGTACATAGGTACACCAACATCCTCGAGGATCACGGGGTCCGTCCCATGATCGTAAGGGCAAAGGTCTCCACGCATGCAAAATCCTTTTTCTGAAAAAGAAATATATTTTTTGTTCATTTCTGCCAAATTGAGAAAATTTTGAAAGTATATTGTTATTCTTTTTAGGATCATGCATTATGAAGGGGACAAGAGAAATTTTAATAAATTTCCAGAAAATTAATGGGTTCACCGACATCCTCGAGGATAAGGTGGTCAGTGTAAAGCTTAATTATGCCTTTTTAGAAATGAAAAATTGCAAAACCTAAGTACATAAGTTGTTATGTTGAGAATATCAGTAACAGTTCTAACAAAAATTTCACTAATGGATTTTATGTTAGTGGATTAGTCTGACAAAATTTAACTCATATATAACTATAATTTAACATTCCACACATTAAAAAATATTACAGCAAGATTAATATCATTAATACAAAATAGGTTTTCACTTGCATATCAATCTTGTAGCCCCACTGTTCATTAATTAACAATTATGGCCATAAATTAATTTTTAATTTAAATTTAAGGTAATACAATTATGCATTTTTGTGGGTTTATTTATTTATGATTATTATTATTATTTTTTTGGTTTGTCAAGATGGATAATTTTAACATGGTAACTACCTTACAACATAATTATTGTAGGTGTGATTTCTTCTTGAGCCTATGAGATGATAATCCTATAGTTTGATCATCTCATTACCTGGGTTTTGTCTGCAATACAAATACTTGGATACAAGGACAGGCAGCCAAGCACAATCAAAGATGACCAAACTACAGGTTAATCACCTATCAGACCTCTCTAAAATATGTCACAATTTATGGTTATCTGTTAATGATAAGGTGATCTAGTAAGATTTTCTTGTTATATTCACTTACTTACAATTGATAAACATAAAATTATTTAGTTGTTCTAAATATGCATAAAAATTGTTGGCCATTAATGTAAATCAAACTTAATGTCATCATTATGGGTATGTAATAGGTTTGTTACTGGTTGTGAAATATGCCCTTTAATACAAAAGTAGAGAAGTGTAACTAATTATCAGTACTGATGTCCTATTAACTGACTTAATTTGAACCATTTCTTGAAAGCTGTAAGTGCGATTGAGTGTATTTCACAGTGAATGAGTTTCTGCTGTTAAGTGTTTTCTACATTTATCTAACCGATGCATGAATATCGGTATTATCATTAACGCAACCTAATAAAAATCTGGTTTATCTCGTTATACCATCAAAGTCTCGACAGCGTCTTGGATATGCCTGCAATTCAGGTGGAACAGCAACAACGCTTTGGATATTTCTGAGGTCTGTATCACCATGGTTGTTATCTCTAGGAGAAACTCCCGCAGCTACATCTTTGCGCTCACGGTTTTCTACTAAAAAGGATGTCAATAAATTGCACAAAACTTTCCTTTACAATTTTAAAGATTTTTTTTAAATATAGCATATTTTATTACATAATTGTTGTTATGATATTTACCTAAAGGTGTTCTTGAACGAGATCTTGGTGGCGAACGGTTTCTAAACCTGATCCTTTTGCTTTGTGGTGATCTAGACTTTGAAAACCTTCGTGTAGGTGACTTTGAATATGACCGTCTGAATAGAAAAGAAAAAAAAATTTATTATATCATAAAGAAAAACTTGAAAGAAATAATAAAGATAATAAAAACAAATAAAAAGTCAATTATTATTATATGAAAGCTAGTTTAAAAAATCACCGGAAAGAGAAATGCACATTAAATGTAATATTAGGAATATATAAATCATAGTGAGTGTGATCAGATAAAATAGGTAAAATGTACAAACCTTCGTTCATATCTCCGAGGCGGAGGGCTCTTATTTCTCCAAGCTCTACCCCTGTCTCGTTCACGGGAACGAGACCTTCTCCTCTCAAACGACCTTGAACGTGACCTCCTCCTTTCTGGCGTTACTGACGATCCTCTTCTCCTCAATCTTCTGTTTCTATCCTCTTTGTCCTGTTATTTCGGAAGAAAGCAGGAAATTAATTAATTTTTGGTGATGGGAATACTAGTTCTCCTAGTGCATTATAATCTTTTACGTTTTTATTTTTAATAACATCCAAGATAATTGATAAAACTTTGAAATATAAATGTTAAGTTTAACAGTTCCTTTGTCGAATAATGACTTTAGGTTGACATATTTGTATATTTAAATCAAGCAGATATTTGTCAGAAAATAAATAAGAAGGGAATTTAAAAACAACAGTGGTAATTTCTTTTATATTATTATTATTTTTTTTTATTTTAATGGATGCCTTATGTTCTTGCATAAGTAGTGTAGTATATTAAAGGAAGGGTAGCTCGCAAAAAGGTAAGGAGTGACAGTGGGAAGTGAACCCACAGCCATGGGGTCTATCACACTGAACACTCAACTACCATAGTCCCCCAAACAATTAAATCTTAAAAGTAAAAGTAAAGTCACTAACACTTTCAACAAGACACACAACAGTGATACATCTACACAGAAAACACACTTTGAAATACATATACTTTGATTTAACATAAAATTTCCCCATCATTGCATAAATGCATAGTCTTATCTTATAAGTATAATTTAAACAATGTTTATAAATCCTATAAATCAATATAGATCCTGAAGATGATCAATAAAGATAGAAAAATTTGCATGATAAAGAAAATATTTTTCTAAACCTGTAGGTCACACCAGACCGCACCTCATGATCTCTAAATAGTCATACAAGGTAAAAGAACACTGAGTTGTATAATTGTTGCTTAATCTTCATTCCAGGTTATTTTGTATCTGAGTACAGTAAACCTCCATTATCCAGGGTTCGATTATCTTGGAATCCAATTATACAGGTCTCAGGTCTCCATATATGTATACTATGCATGCAGGTACATATTTTGCATAGCAACAAGTCACTTCTGATTCAAATAACACCTCCTTTTGTTGTTTGTTCCTATAAAACTTCCACTGGTCCGTTTACATTGAACGTTATGACCGTCATTCTAGAACGATGTACTAATTCTTCTCCATTACGAATATCGTTCCAAAACGACACCTTCAAGAAATCTCCTCTTTTAAAACATGTTGTTGGGTATTGGGTGTATTTTTGGAATTGATTCAGTGTCCCAGGCCAGTTAATGAGAATCACTCACACAAGTGTTTCACATTGTTTATTTCTCTCCATGTCTCGAGAATAAGATTGAACCAGGACGGTTGGTGGACTTATCTGAGTGTATCACAGCTACCAAGTTTTGTGAGAAGGTAAAGATACACATCCTCATAACAAGAATAAGATAGAAGATGCATGGAAGCAAAAGAAAATGACCATCAAAATAGGACAAAGGCAAAAAGTACAACAAAAAATATTGCCATAATAGTAAACATTGATGCAGTTATTGGTTTAGTTATAAACAGCATGCTGCTCTTGCACAAACTGATGGCTCACCTTGTTTCGCCTCTAGGTTGCAAAATGTTCCATCTCATGGTAAAAAACCAGAGACAGTGTTTCGTGAGTGATTTTCGCATTTAGTTGTGCAAGTGATTTTTCTGAGCAATGGAAACCCAGCTTAAGTAACGTTACTGTGAAGACCGTTTTTCGTTTTTTTTTTTTTTACCTTTTTGGAAATTTTTTCTGTTTAATACATATTCATAATAGCAATATATGTAAACGTGTTTTATTAATTTGCCTTTCAATTAATTTACCCCAGATAATGGAGGTTTTACAGTATTTTGGTGATCTAATTTACAATTATTCTACTATTACTATGCAGGGAAAAAAATGTCGTTACTTACTGATTCGCTCTTTCGTAAATGTTTGTCTGAATCACGACGGCCAGCAGCAGTTGCAAGCAATGCTACACCAAAGCTGTTTTGTGTGCCAGTGATGAGAGCAGTATTCTATAATAAAAAAAATATATCAATTTAAATTACAGCTACAATGTATAAAATAAAAATCCCTTGTATAACACAGCCAGTAAACAAATTACCTATTGTTTTGTAATATTATCTGTGTGATTATGTTCACCATTGTGATATCCACCTTTGATCAACTAACAAAATCTTTTGAAACTGTTTATTTTAGCCTCTAAGCTTATAAGCAGTCAACTATTCTGGGAGTGATTTGCAGATGCTAAAACGCATACCCTTAGAGCCTCGGCCACTACATGATACCCCCAGCCTCATTTATTTCACTTTGAATCGCTCTTATTCTTATGTTGCACCAATTGTGTTCAAAATTTGACCTTACCTCATAAGGAGTATTGTATTATACAATTTGTATAATTTAAACAAGGTTTATAAATCCCAGGCCCTGAAGATGATCTCAATAAAGATTGAAAAGTTGGCACGATAAAGAAAATGTTTTTCAAAACCTATGTCACACCAGACCGCATCTCATGATCTCCAAATAATTTTGTATTAATTATTAATTTGTATTATTAATTCTTTCATGAGACAAATTATTCTTAGCTGTCAAGAGTCAAGAAAGTTGATTCCGATTCACACAAATTTTATAAAATTGATTGATAGATTTTAGTTTTTTTGGTCTGACTGTACTTACTGGGTTGGCCTGACAAGAAGTGTTTCAGCATTTTGCCATCTTCAGTTTGTCTGTGTGATTCTGTGAAGTCAAATCTTTTTTGCACACTGAAGTTGGCGAAATACTGAAACCCATCTGACAGATCAAAACGATCAGTAATGACGTATTTTAAACCAAAATGATCTGAAGAAAATTGCCAAGCTATAACTTTGTTGAAATGAACAAATATGGTGGTTTTGTTATAGGCCGACCAGCATAAGCCCTACAATTATAATATACAACACCACCTAATTAAAAATTTCATCATACTCTTAACAAGTAAAAATAAATAAATAGTTACCGATTCTTTATTATCTCTTTTTCTTTCAATTTCTTCTTGTTGTTGATTAGAAGGGAATGTTTCTCTCAGATCAAGATCAGTTGTTGAAGTTTTGGATGCAATCGGTGATAGAACATTGTTTGTCTGTTGATCCGTCAATGGATCAAAACATTGAGTTTCCAAAGTACGAAACAGAAGATTCACAAAACCTTGTGTTTCTGAAAACAACATAGAAAATTATATATTTTCTTGAAGAAATTAACTACGTCATATAGAACAGACCTCTTTGTAAAAAAACTTCCAACTGATCCAACATGCTTGCCCGGAGTTCTTCAACGGGTTTGTCCTTTTTAACAAGTGCGTACACATATTTTGCCAATGCTGCTGGATCCGCATCACAACTGCAAAGAAATGACAAATTTTAAAAATGTGTTGTTGTTTTATATAAATTGAAGCTAATTTAAAATTTTATCTACGAGATAGACCAATTCTAAATAATTGCGTAATTGTGGAATATAACAGTCATTTAAATAATATCATTAATAATTAAACTATTATTATATTTAATAATAGTAATTTACACCAGATTTTCATGTGCAGAACAGCCATGTCAGCCATAGTAATTAATCATCAATTACAATCATCAGATGTAAGTCAGTTTAAATCTGATCTCTGAATTTAAAATATATGAAGATAGCAAATACAAAATTTCAGCCTTTAAAATATAAATTGGCATAATTTTTACAGGAGTGATCATTCTTACTTATTTCAAGTTCAGAGAGGATTTGTTCTATAAATATCTTATGATTATATCATAATAATAATTAGTACGATAAAACTATCTGTTGATGAGCATTAAGAAATTTATAGAAAGAAAAATCAACACAAATTTGAATAATTGAATCAATTTTGCTTGAGCACATAAAAACGATAAGTGTAAGTACAAAATATTTATTACTAAAACCAATTAAGCATAAAGTACATATTGATGTTGTTCCAGAGAAAACATCTAAAATAAAAGTAAATAAATTACAATTAAAACTATACAAAAAGCAGTAATTAATACAGGAATGTTCTAGTCTAATGAATCTAACTGTTTTTTTTTTGTTCTTTTAGGCTAAAAGTTTCTTAACTTTTTGGTAGATAATGACTTGTATTGCTAGTGGCTCTGAGTTCGAATCCCAATATAGCCCGTGTACTTTTAATTGAAAATAATTTTAAAAGGGATCCTGGAGTCCTTCCTTGACCCATAATGTAGTACTTGTCTATTTCTTTTTTATTCATTTTCTAGTTATTATGGACAACTATCAAGTTCCAAGTTATTTACGTATTTATTAATTTTTATTTTTTATGGTGAAAAAATTATTAATAGAATTTAAAAACAGGCTTCAAATTGTCCTATATTATTGATTGAAACTATTCTATTTCATTGTATTACAACATTAGTTAACTTTATGCTGGTATTGACACTATTTGCAAACAAGTGATGATGCTTGTGGTCCGCATTTGAGTTTTTTCTTCAAATATTTTAAAAAATAATAAGTCTGAGAGAGTGAGAACTCAGCTTGACTAAATATATTAGCAATTAATGCACGGATTTCTTGTGAGAATCACCAACTCCAATCTGATGATCATTAGTGATACCGGTAATCTTGGGTTAGACTTATCTGTCTTGACAATTAGAAAGAGGCTTTAGGGGTAACAGATTAGGTATTTCAGCTTGATCTAGAATCACTACTCTAGGATTTGTTTGGGAGTCTTATCCGTCTTGCCCAGCAAAATTAGACTAACAGTATATCTGTATAGTACTCAATATTATATCCTCATATATTCATGGTAAATATATTTAATGCAATAAATTTGAACACAAAGCACATAATATTACAATTTAACAACTATAACTAGGACCATTCGTGTTTTGTACATAATTCAAAGAGACTCACAGATATAATTCTCATATTGAGTGGTTTTCTTATTCGCTCCAGGAAAAACCTTTGTGGTCTTACTTTGATTATTATGAATAGTAGTGATTTTACAATATCTGAAAGTGAAATTACGTCATACACCAACCCTGTTTTTGGCTTTAGAGAATTATAACTTGGTCTTGTCTGTCCTACTCTATAAAAAATTAGGTCATTTCAATCCCTAACATAGTAATCTAAGCAAAATCACACATTCACTCATACTTAATACATTATTTTCTATGTAAGAAGTACATGAGATTAGGACCTTGTTTTTGTTCTTCCTACCCAAAGATCCAACAAAATTACTCTCCAGTGATTTCAGTCAGTACAGTTTTTTTTCCATAAAACACATGTGCAAACTTTTCACACCAGTAGGGTGATGCGGTACTATAAATAAAGACTATGTTTCTTATTTTATGGATGTAACGCTCATATACAAATGTACTTTATTATGGTTTTAAAACATGGAAATATCTCTCTGCAGGCAGGATTTAAGAATTATAGGCCTCTACAACGGCCACTGCCCTCTTAATAAGGTATGAGATGGAAACATGCCGGCTATGTCAGGAGGCACATATCCTTCGTGAATGTAAAGTGTTAGCCCATTTGTGGTGTACAGCCATTTCGGCAGGAAATTTCTTATATGAAAGGGGATCTGTGAAGAGGCACCAAGGAAAGTGCTTAGTTTTATAAGGAATACTTTTCAAGGTATGGCTGGCTATAAGCTATAGAGGTTCCACAAATGATCTGTTTAGGTCGCAGTGGAGGAAAGAACTGTGTTCTGCAACACCCTTAAACCCTTTAAAAAAGAAAAAATGTGTAGTACCTGGCCTACCCTCCTGGATTGTTACTCTTGGGATGATATTTCATAAGTTATTTTAAATGCGAGTAATTTTTTTTTAATCCCTACAATAATTTTATTTCACTAATACTCTTATTATATTACTATGATTGAAAATGGAATTAATCTGATTATTTACTTGCCAGAATCACCTACCATACTGTTTTTGGCAGTACAAGATTAGACCTCGGTCTTGTCTGTTCTGACAAGTGGCTGTTGAAAACTAGGTCATTTCAACCCTAAACATAATTTATAATCTAAGGACTCAAACCTTCACACATACTTAAATGCATTCTTTTTCTATGTAAATACGTACGATTAAACATAGTTTTTCCATCCTGGCCAAAGGAACCAACAAAATTGATTGAATGGAGACTTCTAGTATTTTCAACAGCGATTTTGGCCAATATATGCAGTTTTTTTGTAAAACACATTAACAACTTGCACAAAAGTAGGGCAATGTGATACTCTAAATAAAGACTACCTACTTCACTCTATAACAAACTTGAGACATCATTAGATAGCTGGATAAGTTGTAACGAAGTACTATGCTGACCTATGCTCCCCCACATGCATAAATGTTCTCTAAGTAGACTATTTTCTTATTTTATAGATGAAACACAAGTGTAATTTATGACAGTTTTAAAATAAGCAAATCATTTACTGTACTACCTGATCTATGCTACACCAGTGCATAAACATGATTTCTGATGTTCTCCAGCTACCAATGCTCAATCTTGGGATGAAATAATCATTAATTAACTGTCAATAAATACCACACAATTCTACACGAGAAGAATAAAGAACAATGGGATGCAATTTCAAAAGAATCTTTAAATGCCAGGAAACATTTTTTTTTATCCTTATGAATAGTTTTACTTGATTAATGTAAGCATTAGTGATATTTCAATTGTTGTATTAACCAACCTGCCCAATGAAATTATTCTCTAGGACTATCGAAAGTGATTTCAGCACTTTTTTAACATGAAGTTTACAACATAAAAACGTTTTCATACAAATAGGGTGATGTGGTACTCTAAATAAAGACTACTTTTCTTATTTTACAGATATTACGCTAATATACTACAAGTGCACTTTATTACTATTTTACACACAATAGTATTATATAGGTTTCACAATAGACCTGCTTAGGCCACAGTGAAGGAAAGAACTGTATCCTGCATCAACTCCCAAACTCTTAAAATAATTTTAAACAAAAAAATATGCTATAGTACCTGGCATATGCTACCTCTGATTTTCCTCTCCTGTTACTAATGCTCAATCTTGCGGTGAAATTTCATAAAGAATTTTAAAAATAAAAACGTTTTAAAATAAGGAAATAATTTATGATGTACCTGACCTACAATACCCCAATGCACAAAAATGATTTCTGATGTTCCCCTCCTGCTACGAATGCCCAATCATGAGATGAAATTTCACAGGAATGGTGTTTCGTGAAACAGTGAGTGTGAGTTTAAAGAAAATGTTTTTCTAAACCTACATCACACCAGACCACATCTCACAATCTCCAAATTTCGCAAGAATCTTTAAACATCAGGAAACATTTTTTTATCCAAACAAATAGTTTCATTTGATTAATATGAGCATTAGTGATGTTACAAGGTATTAACCGACCTTCCCAATGAAATTAGTCTCCAGGACTATCAACAGTGATTTCAGCCCTTTTTTAACATGCAGTTTACAACATAAAAACGTTTTCACACAAGTAGGGCGATACACTCTAAATATAGACTACCTCAATGTACAAGCTACACAACTAAGCTATGTGTGGGTCCATGTCATACTCAATATTCCATCACCATCTATACATGCGAAACACTTATCAATCTTTTAATACATGGAAAACAAAATACATCAATTACAGTTTAACGATATACAGGACATTCATGTTTTGTAAGAATTCGCAAACATGGTTCTCGTCAAGGGTGGTCCTCTCATCCGCTTTCTGTAAAAAGCTAGTGATAGCACACCGAGAAACTTTTAACATATGCCTGTCCACAACTATACGTGTGTCAACGACTGAAATGTTTTCAGGTCTATCTATGCATTTATGTTGTGTGCATGTCCTGGATTGTTTTAAATGTTTATTTGGACGCGTGGACGATGTGATTTTTTGAGTTTAACATTGTTGAAAATGAAATGTAAACGAGTGTGGAATTGTAACACACGTTAACGCGGGTGTTAAAGTGCAAAGTGAAAAGAATCTAAAACACTCCTTCAGTAACAATACTGATAAGGATAAAAAGAATAATAAAGAAGAACATAATAAATAAAAGATATTTTGAAAGTTAGCAGGAAAGTCCCTTTAGAACTTAGATAACAAACGCAAAGCAAAATGTATCACTCACTTCCTAGAAACGTACTTTTTGTTAATTAAAGACTACTAAATGTCCTAAATAGGAAAAAACTCACAGTGGTTCTAGTTTTGACGTGAGCCAGGCCTTAAAACCCTCCGGGTCTTCGATGATCATTATTTATTGAGACCTTCCAAACTCAACGTTGGGGGGGAAAAAAACCAAATCTGGAGCGAGAAGAAAAAAATAGGCGTATTTAATATTTCTTTTAGCCCAAGTTTTAAAACTAAAATAACCAACACAACGATGAACGAAGAAGATCCTTGCATCCACTGCCTTCCTTCGGCCGTTTCTACACACTTTCGAGACTCGTCCTTTTCTACGTCTCGATCTTTTCCACAGAACAACGGCTCGCCTTGTGAGCTTCTCGGCCCGCTATCTCTCGTCCGGATTGGAAACGAGTTTCTTCTCGGGAAAAAACGTCGCCGAGCCACGGCCTTCTGGATGGAAATTCTCACAGTTCAGAAGGCATCACCTCTCACCGTTTTCACTACATCTGTGATTTTCCGACTCTCGTCCCTTTTGAGGTTCGGAGGATTACTGACTTGTATTTCTTTAAACCGTACGAAATAGTCGTATTAATTTAAATTTTGTTATGCTTTTATTAATAAAGTGTCCCATCGGATGATAATACACCGGCTCGTTTTTACACCAGCTTATACGTTGTTTTTTTGTTTTGTTTTTTTATAAAGTTTAGTCGATTGAAAGTCCGAAATGTCGGATAGTTTCTTCGGTTTCGATACCACTCTAGAGGTGAGGATTAATTGTTTTCCATTTTTCTCCCTTTTTGGATTATTTTAAAACAGACTACGATTCTAATTAATTTTCCAATTTTTATTTTTATCCAAAGGGCGGAGACGCCATGGACGACGGAATACCGTCGGAAGAGGACGAGGAGGATTACGATGCGCTCAACGACGAAACTTTCGGAGACAGTGTCATCAGTAAGTATTTTATTATTTATTATTTTATAGATAAAACACTTCCGCATACCAGATACCCGAGGTCCATAAATTCCTCTCAGTCCATTCGAAGTAGAAAAACGTATATTCATTGAAATTATTTAAATTTGCCTTCTCCTAACGAAAAGCAAGGTCGTAAAATCCTTATTTGTAGTAGTTAAAAGAGTTTGCTGGTTTTCAAAGTTTTTCAAGATTGAGGTAAGTTGGGTAATCTGTCTGGAGGGTATGAAGTACGTGGTAAAGTTTTAATTGAAGAAGGGTTCACTTATCTGATCCTTATTCTACGGACTGCAGTAACCATTGAGTGGTTAGCTCATCAGACTTTCAGTTTGTATGCCCTGTGGTTGTGGGTTCAATTCCCACCATTGCCACTGGAGATTTTGACCCTTATACTATTCCCCAAAAATTCAACATACATTATATTAATGCTTGGTAAATTGGTAGACACAACACAATTTAAAAAAAATCTTATTGTAGAAAGTTGTGAAAAGTGTATTGTGAAAGTACTCTAATTCGAGACTGTCGATTTTCCAAATTTAACAGACAAAGATGCTTCCAGATATATAACAATGTAGTGCAAGACAACACCGACACGCATTTTAAAATCATGACAAAAACAAAACAAACAAAAATTGCTTATTTTTTAAGTTGTAAAAAGTTTCCACTGGGATTTGAAACATTGGTTTTTCAAAAAATTTCAAGAGTTAAGGAAAGTTTCAGTAATTAGTATTCACTAATTATTGTATAGGATTAACTCATTTGATCCTTATTGTGCAGACTGCAATAGCTGTTGAGTGATTAGCAATCCAGACTTCTGCTTTTGGACCCTGCGGTCAAGGGTTCGATTCCCACTGTTGCCCCTGAAGTTTTTGAACCATACCTCTACCCCCCAAAAATTCAACAACATACATTATGTTAATGCTTGGCTATTGTAGTAGACAAGATGATTTTTTTTTTACTTGTGATATACAAAATCCTTATTTTTGAAAGAAAGTTTGAAAAAAGAGTCAACTTCAATGTGAGATTTTGCTGATTTTACAAATTTTCTTGACTATGGTTCCAGGATGCTTCGACATACAAACATACAGTGCAACACAATATTTATGCACATTTCATACAACCAAAAAAGTTTATTAATACTGTTGATCGACATTTATATTTACTTTATGTAATACCAAGAAGATAATGTTTCAATTTATTAAGAAAAATTGTCTTGAACAGTTCACTGTAAATTATAAAATATTTTCTTTCTTATGGTTTCAAAACCCTATAAATTTAAGTAGTACTGGGGCAGCCAAAGCAGCATGTAAAATTTGCACTTCAGTGATGAAACAATAAGCCCAAAACCGGGTCAAAAAGTTTGCTTCTGGAACTTAATTGAGAGGATTGAAGATAAGCCACAGTCTGGTAGACTTTCTGTCTTGAATGACTACTTAAGGGAAATTTTCGAACTTAATTGAGTCAAACATGTCAAGAGCTCACCAGAGTACTCAACGTAAGCATTGAAACAATTCACACTAGCTTACAATGACTTGGGAAAAGGAAGAAGCTGAACAAATGGGTACCTCCTACAGATGGTATTAAACATACAGTAATGTTGTGCAATACAACACCAATGCTCATCTCAACATCCTTATATTAAAAAAAAAATGCTTATTTTTGAAAGTTCTTAAGTTAAAGTTAGACTTTTTCTATTTTAAAAGTTTTTCTGCTTAGGCTACTGTTAAGGACTGAGAAAAGGGCTAAAGTGTTGTTGGCAGGGTCTGAAAACTATGGAATTGTAGTAAAGTTTCCACAGAAGAAGGGCTCATTTATACTGCTTCAACGCTTATTTTTGATGTTGTGAAATAAAATTTATCCTGGAGGCTATTGTTGAAAGGGTGACAAAATGTTGGCAAGGAAGTCTGGAGAGTATGGAATATGCGTTAAAGTTTCGAATGATGAAGGGATTAATTTGTACTCATTGAATCTTTATTGTGAAAAGAATACAGAGTACAAATTTTCCCGACTAAAGAGTAAAGATGGGTCCTGACATGCAACAGTGTAGTGCAACACACACACATTGTGGTATAAAAACTCCTTATTTTTCAAAATTTTAAAATGATTCTTCAATTTAAGACTTGGTCGTTTCAAAGTTTTTCAGCTTGAGGCTATTGTCAAGAGCTAAGAAAAGGATGGTAATCTGTTTGTGACGTTGGTAATGTTTCCTGTAAATTCAATGTTTTTTTGCTAAAGTATAATTGAAATTACTATAGAAAACAATATGTTATTCATTGAAATAATCAAAATTAGGCTACTCCAAACAGAAGAAAAGTCAAAAATCTGAAAAATTCTTATTTCTGTAAGTTTTGAAAAGAGAATTAAGTTAGTACAACAATTTGACACTATTTTGTCAATATTTTTCTGCCTAAAGGAAGGGGCAGGCATGAAACAACAGAATGAAGCACAACACTACACAGATGCAATAACGTAGTTAGCGATTAAACGGCCCAAGTGCAAATATAGTTGGGTCACCTTGGTTAGTTTGCTGCTGGTACATATAGTTTGCTACATAAAAATTAAAGCTATCCTGCAGTAGCCTACTTACTAATGAACTTAGGGGACCAAGTGGTTACATCGTCAAATTCATATGCCACACTAATGGTTCTGGGTTTATAGTCCATGGAGTTTTAATTGTGAATAATATAGACAAAATATGGTAAAGTGGTTTTACTCCATTGATTTTAATACCTAACAGTAGAAGGATGTTAATGACAGTAATTACGTTACTTTTACTATCAGATTGAATACTTCAATCTGTCCCCAATTGATTAGGGTTTACTATAATCTTTATAAAGATTAGATATTAGTGTTTTCGTTAAGAAAGGTTGAGTAACAATCAAACCAATAACAAAAAAACTGAAGCACAAACAAACAAGATCATTTTAAAAACAACCGGTCTTTTTAGAGAACCTTGAACAATTTCCAAGTATATAAATATTGTGTCTGTTTACAAAAACTTTATATAATTTTAAAATATAAATATAATTTATAATATAATAATAATGATGCCTCAAATTGTGGGAACATAGTTATGCTTTTTGTAATTTTCCCCTCCCACCCAACATACGAGTCAATCAAGTAATTATGTAGCTTTTAAGAAGAATTGGTAAACTTTTTAAACACCAAATTCACTAATTTCGTGGTCCGCTTGACCAATTAATATATTACAATTAATTAAGGTTTTTAGTTGAGATAAAAAGCGTATCAAGCCGAAGATCGTGGGTTCGAATCTTTTTTATCTCAACTAAAAGCCTTAATTAATTTTTAAATACCTTTTCACCAATTTGTATAAAATCAAATATTTCCATATCTTACAGTATTGCAAATTTGACATTTTTTTATTGATGAACCCAAACTTTATCTAAAGAATGATTTAAGATGATACCAGCTTATGAATTGTGCATATTTCTTTGAATATATATTTTAAAAAATAAATAAAATGGTTTGCAACTCCGATAGCATAATAGTATTTTTTTATTATTTGGAGATCATGAGATGTGGTCTGGCGTGATGTAGGTTTAGAAAAACATTTTCTTTATCGTGCCAACATTTCAATCTTTATTGAGATAAGGGGGCCTGGGATTTATAAACATTGTTTAAATTTTACAAATACATGTAGGTGTGGATATTTTTTATGGTGTTGTCTATAAAAATTCATAATATTTTCATATAAAATCATAGGTCAAAAGAGCATGTTGTGATAATCCTTCATTAAACTCACAGTGCCTGTATAGTGTCCAATACGATTGATTTATGATGCACTATATTGTTCAATTAATAAACGGTTATTTTTGCAGCTGGCGATTGGGAACAGGACCATGAAAAGTTGGCAGAGATTGCTGAGCTTTCGAGACGGTCGCTTATAGCAGAGGTGAATAAATAATAATTTTATTAATTTTGTTTTATTGTCCAATGCTTTATTTACTTGTGTATTATTTATAAACATTTTATACCTTGTTTTTCATTTAGTCTCTTTTATTTTATTTGTTTTTTAAAGAAGTGATTAGTTTTAACATTATTGTTTCAGATAAATCATTTAAGACACTCGCGGACTTGAACTGCTAATGGAACTCTTTTGTTGAATGAAAATGAAATGCTTATTAAACATTAAATTCGGATTTACAAAAACAAAATGTTTCTTTTTATTATTTTTTCTTAGTTTAACAATAATAAATTAATTGAGGAGGAGGGTTATACAGACTAGATTTAAGGCCGACCATTTTAAGGCACAAACCAGCACACTTTTTGTTAAATTGTAGCATTTCTTCCTGAGATCTAGTTTAACCTGCAACTTGGGTCATTTCCAATCATTTTGACCTGCTTATCCTCTGGGTTTTATCAGCCAGGCATGTTTTAGCTTTTTGCCATATTCATGTTGGATGTATATCATTGTATAACATAAACCCACCTCTGAATATGGCAAAAGCTTAAATATTTCTGACAGACCAAAACTGTGAGGACCAAATGATCGGAAATTGCCATGCTACTATTATTTTTGCTCTTCTATTTTCTTAACAACAGTACAAATTTAGTTGTTATTTGACCAATTATTGTGAATTGGAGTAAAAAGTATCATATTGATAATATTCTTGAAATCATTGTACACAAAACAGAATTTTAGATTTTAGTAGACCATGGTGGCCGAGTGATCAGGGCAAACAACTCATATTTGCCACATTAGCTGTTCTGGGTTCAAACCCATGAAATTTTAATTGAAAATAATTTGGAAATATCATTTTAAAATAGTTTGCCCCCAGCCATACCCAATGGATAGTTGGACATTAAGCTCTCATATGAATGGAAACTTTACTTTTATTACCTAATTGAATACAATACTTTCATTTTAAAAATTCACACCATATTTTTTTTATTGTTCACCAAAGGCAACATGCACTAAGTTGTATAAATCATAAATCTTATAACAAATGGGAGTTAACATGTCTTTTCTAATCGTAACTAGTCTCAATTTGAAATTCTGTTTCAAGTCTCAATTTTGATCATTACAAAAAAATTTGAGCTTGAAACTTACGTTCACTTTCTTGAATCTTTACTAGACTTGTCCATGTTGGAACTTAAAACCGAGTTTTGAACATTGTTAATTTCAATTGTCCATCTTTTATTCGATATTGTAATAAAGGTGGCCAGAATAATACAAGAGCGTATGGTAAACATTACATAACTCAGACAAAAATTCATTCATAAATAAATTCTTGTTCTATTAAATTTTTTCTTTTCAGAATGGAGATCTCAGTGCAAAAATTGCTGCATTCATTTTGGATGATGAGGTAAGAATGATTTTTGACTATTACTTTGCCGTACAACTATCTAAAGTAGGGAAGCCTTATATTCAAACGGGAAGTCGAAAAAATTTGTAACTTCCAAAATAAAAATTTCTATTAGCATTTGTGTGTTAAACCTTTCTAAACAAATTTGGTTACATGACTGTAACCACTGTCTGTCTGTGGTCAATTTTTTGTAACCGGCAAAACCCCGAGACCATGAGACCAATTTTTATGAAGTTTTCAGAGATTGTGCAGGTTTCTAGAAGGACCCCATTGAATTTCATCCCAATCTTATCAACAGTATCACTTAACACATGCACAAACGTAAAATCCCATACTCAGCTCAATCTCTGAAACCATTCCACGGATTTTGATGAAATTTGCAGGGGTCATGCGACTTAGTTTCCAGATAGTCCCCTATAAATTTCATCGCAACCATATCAACGATATCGACTGCATAAGCAGCTATACCTCTGAAACTATTTTTCAGATTCTTTCAGGGATTATGCAAGTTGCTTTCTAGATGATCCCCTATGATTTTATACCAATCAGATAAACGCATGTGTATGTACAAACATAAAATCGTGTACTACACAGTTATACCTCTGAAACCATTTTTTGGATTGCTGTGCAATTTTCAAGGATTATGTGGGTTGCTTTCTATATGATCCCTTATGAATTTTATTCCATACAGATTAACATATGCACATGCACAATATGTGAGGAAGCCCATCCACTTTTTTTTTTAACTACTATTCTTTCTTTTTAGATACAAGACGAGAAACTGGAACCCATTAAGCCAAAAATGAGGCCACCGCCAGGCTTTTGCGCCCCAACACCCAACCATATTAATGATGAAATTATGCTGCCTAATTTGAGAGTAAATGTAAGTAAATAATCATATTATTATATGTTTTTATTTATTGTTTTTATTGTATGTGGAAACTATTTTTAGGCAATGTGTACAGTAGAAGAAATAGAAAGGAATTTAATAAAACCTAGTAGTGTGAGATTAGAAGATTTAGAAAGACGTATAATACTGGTAAGCTATTTGCTTTTTTGTATTAATGTTTATATTTACAAAAATTACTTATAAATCAAACTTTTTGTCCTATTAGAACAACCAAGATGTTCTTCAGCTGCGATCAAACCAAGGGAGCCCTGGTTTTATTAAGCCACCGCACAGCCATAACTTAAACAATCAACTGTCCAAAGGATCATTGCTGCTACCCTTCCAGGTGGCACCCCCTCAAATCCCAAATCTCTCTTTTGTTTTACGTGAGTTAATTATTTGTTTTATTACATTAGTTATTTACTAATTAAAGTTGATTTAATCCTCCTTACATTTACTCTTCACCCAGTTCATCAAATGGTGTAAATATATGTAAATTAGACCATTTTAAAGACCACAAAATAATTTATCATGTTATTTATATGATTTGTTGAAGTCGTGAGGAGCGGTCAAGATATTATTTATTTTTATGTGTGCTTGCAGATAGCTGTATTATTGTTTCTATACCTTGAGGTCCATTATTTTCCTTATTTTGCTAGAATACTGGAATCCTTACAAATGAATGGTTTTTCCAAACCGATCAGTAGTTCACTTCACACTATCACAGAATGCTGCATCCTTATGATCAATACATGAGCCTTGACCCTTAAAAAATGTGATGTAAAAAGGCCTCAGGTACTTTCACAAGGAATAAATTAGATAAAGAGATCTGACTAGATAGTTTGGTCTTCTCACCAAAAAAAATTTTCCAAGATTTTACTAGCAGAAACTTGTAATTGAATTTTGTGCTATGAAGATAGAAAGTTTAGGTATAGAAGTAGAAAGAGCCTAATACGTAGTACCAATCGGACTTGAACTCTTCTGTAAAATTTTAAACTGCTGTAAAATAGAAATAATTGTCAAATTAATGAAATGAATGCTTAAGGGAAAGATTAACAAATTTTGGAGGGGATTGTATTCATGAAAGGGTCATTCAAATTTCTTTTGGTCAAGTTTTTAACTATAGTCTTCTGTACTTTTTTCTTTCTTTGATCTCAGAAAATAAAAATAATTTATTTCTAGCTTGGAATGCTAATCCTTGGAATCGTCTGTCAGGTCCGATGGTCAGAGTTCCTCATCCTTTCGACATTAATCGTATTATATCCCCAAGCATTCAACAACAGCTACATAAGCAGCAGCAGAAGAGGAGAAGTCGGTCTGATGATGAATATGCAGGTCTTATGACGCTTAGGGAAAGAAATTGGCTCGCTTCCCTGCAGACGATGCAAATCAGCACAAACCAACCATTTCAAGATGACTATTATTTCATGGTAATTAAACTTATTGTAAATTGTGTTGCAAGATTTTAATTTGTTTTTCTTATAATCAAACAAACAGATGTATCAGACTACACATTCTGGAAATCACAATAGAAAATTAGGCTCATCACTGAAAAATAACAGAGAAATTCCATTATTAATAAAACCAACTTATACTCCACTACAGTTTGAAAATTCTTTAGGAAAATTACAAGTAAGTTAACTATTTACATTAAAATATATACAAATATTGTTACTGGCTAATTTAAATTTATTATTTAGGTAGGAAGTGTGATGGCGCCAAGAAAAATCATTGACACCGACATCGTGGAGAACATTGACTGTGCAAGCATCAGCTCTACGTCGAAGAAAGTCAAGCAGATTCTTCTGGAAATTGAACATGTAAAATATCTTATTTGAGGTGAAGATTTCTTCAGTAGTTAAGAAGAAGTCATTTTATGATTTCCCCTTTCTTGTGTTTCAGATGTTTTCAACAGTCCTGCAAGCTGAAGAGGCAATATCACCGTTGGCGAACCATAATGAAGAAATGGTTAACCCAGTTGAATTGTTTAAAAAAACAGTCAACACATTGTTAAAAGACGACAAATTGGTTGCTGTACTGAATATTAGAAAAGGAAAGGTAATATTTTATCATCAATGTAACATCAGAAGTGAACATAATTGAACAAAAAAACCTTTTTTTCAGACATTGGTATTGAGAATATTACCTCACATTGAAATATCAGCACCTCTCGTTGACAAGTTCATCACGATACTCCCTGCAGTTGCAAAGAAGGACACCGATCAAAGTCTTCTAAGTGCATTGCCACCAGTGAGGCAATATTTATCGACCTGTAGTCTACAATCTCTTGTAGAATTGAGCACAAGTTTGACACAAGATGCTACGTTCCTTCTCCAGAATAAAGTAAGATTTTCTGTCTGTATTAAAAACTAATTCTTCCACTTTAATTGATGAGATAGTTTGCAAGTGGTAAAAAAAATTGTCAAAATTGAAAATAAATAACATTCAATTTTGAATTCAATTTCCTAAGAAACGGATCAAGACCTCTCCTTAAAATGAGGGAAAATGCGAACCAAGTCTTAAGTACAAGTGAGAGAGGGAAGGACTTCTCTTTCTTCACTGGCATTTCTAAAACAAGAGCTAAAGACCAAGAACAGGTTGACACACCTACATGAATGCCCGTAAGATTCGCGTTGCAAAGACAGGTGACTCTTTAGGTCGAAGGGAGAAGGTCACCTTCTCCACCCAAGGGGGGGATCGTCACCGGCGGCGTTAAAAGACTGGAATAATACCGTGCGTGTGACGCTAGCTTGTCAAACACTCGTGTTGTAGGTGGTATACTCCAAGTTAGTCTTGTGATCGTGACAAATGAAAAAATGGTCTCCTGGGCAGACCGCACCTTTCGTGAGAGCTAATGCTGAGACAAATGTCATCTGAATTCGTAAAAGTGTGCGTCACGATCGCTAGACTTTGATTAAGTGTTCAAGTTGTCATGAGGAAAGATGTATTTAGTGGAAAAGAAGGGTAGATTATAGAACGGTATTGAAGGCGGTGGATTCTTGTCCAACAAAAGGAAAGAGACCTCCAGGTGCCCACACTCACTGCACCAGGTATGCCTAAATGGGCCTTGACAGTCTGGCATGGCATTAGCGCCGAAAACTAGAAAGTATACACAGCTTGACAAGTTTGGTTGGCTGGTAATTTTCAGTCGTTGGTTTTTATATGCTGGTAAGCCGTTGTGACATACCAAATAAGTGTGCAAAATGACCAAAATACACACTCATCCACTGACTGGCCCATGAATAAATTTCACAATATTTAATAACATGTGTGGGGTGATTAGTGACCGTTAATCGATATTTATTTAGAAATCGTGAGATGCGGTCTGGTGTGATGTAGGTTTCAGAAAAATATATATAGGGTATGTGCCTAAGTTTTTCGGTTTTCATAAGATAACAGTAATTAACTTGCAAAATATACATTAATTTTTTTTAATCTAAAATATTATTTATTTCGTTTTCTATACCATACTCCCTATGTTATGTTAGCAGAAATGTACTGTTGTTGTAGAAGTCTGACGAGTAAGAAGTGAAGAAATGTATAAGTCCCATTTTCAGAGCGTTTTCAATCAAAATTTCCCTACCTTTTAAATGATTGTCTAGGGAGTGGAACAAGTAAAAATCAGAAGGGGCGGGTGGGGGCTTTGTTGCGATTTTACTCTGAGTGTGTGAGGCCTGGTGTTGTTACGGAGCAACACGATGTGTCTGTTCACCAGGGCTTTCCTTCAAAGCTACCCCGAGATGGATGCTTTAACTGGGCCACAGTATATCTCTGTCGTAAGGGTTTGGTTGTAACAGATCCCGTTAAATTTGCCTCAAATATCCAACCAAACAAACAGTAAAACCTTATGAGGGTGCAGTCTTGCCTTGATGTAACGTTTTTGTAAAGAACACTTCTCATTCCCAGTAACCAAATAGTGAATAAACCCTTCTGATTTATTTCTATCTAGGTTTGTTATGCAACAAGCCATGTGATTTTCCTTGTTCCTGATGATCAGTTATGGCTTCTTCCAACATTTTTCTCAATGTAGAGTTTGGATTCTTCTTGCTATTGTTGTGCGATCGAGCTGAAATCTAATAGTTCTATTACACCTAATTTGCCCTCATACTCAGTCAAGCAATAAGTCGTTGCTTTTAAGCTTGTTGGACATTCCACAACAATACTGTTCTTTGTATTGTCCCTCTACATTACGAAAATGATCACTTAGTATGTTATCACCATAAATTCTACATTATTTTTTCAGCAGGAATTTGCCATTCTATGCCCGAGATCAAACTCGTATAGCAAGCAATACATCAAATGAATTTTATGTTTCCTTGTCGTACATGTCACAGTTTATTCCAAACCCTTTCTTAACAGTTTCAGCACTAATGAGGGTTGTAATAAAGGATCACCTTTGGAAGGAAAAAACTTAAGCACACACCCAATTTCTAAAACAATTGTTACAATTGTATTTATTACAAGCATAAACTGTAACTAACTTGTATGTTTTTTAACATTTCCTTTCAGCTTGGAATATCAGTCATTGCAAACATGATAGAAAGAGCTGAAGTTCTCATAGCAAATAGTGCCAACAGTAACGATGCAAGGAACTGGATATCATTTATGAACCTGTTGGTGATGAATTGCTGCACCAGCGAACTGGAGAGGCCTGTTGTAGGTATTCATGGTCCAACCCTTGCAAAGCACCTTTCTAGGTGTTCCCAATTGGGTAGTATTTCCACCTTGCAAAAAGCACTCTCTAACCTAAGTACCATTGAAAAAGGTTAATAAGAATAAAACTTACCCTAAATTTAGAATACCATCACACAATTTAGTAAAAGTATATATTGATTTATATTCCAGATAATTGTATCATAATATGTAAGTGTGATAGGCCTTTGACTTCGGTATTTTACTAATGTAATACCATTTCTATAGTTTTTCTTTTTTATTTCAAACTGCTTAATTTTTTAATCATATTAATTAATTTTATATTTTATATTGATAAGACAAAACAAAAACAAGTTATTATTTTTTGTTTGCAAAATTAAAGTGGTTCGCTTGAGCGAGAGTGAGTGTGTGTAACCCCTCATGGGATCAAGATATTGCGGTCCTTAATCATAAAATCTAAGTTTTATTTTCTTTCATTCATTTATTTTTCTTTGTTAATAAGAAAAACATTTTTGTACAGGTTGTAAGTAGGGCTCTTCCATAGTCATCGAGATAATTTGTTCATATTTTTTTTACTTTGTTTGTTTTTTTTTTTTTTTTTTATAGAAATTTAATTTAATTTTAAATTGATTTAATTTGGTGTGTATATAAATGAAACAATTGCTGTCTTGTATTTTGTAAATTGCTGTTAAAACCACTTAACTAAACTTATTTCAGAACATTTATTATTTATTAGATAGTTGTTTGTTTTCATAAAGCTATCCAATATTATTGATATTTAATTATTTTTGCTAGTAAAACTGTATATACAAGAATAAAATAAAACCGTATTAAATCTTTGTTTTATTTTTATTATTTTTGATTTAATAAATTTAATGGACCTTCGGATTTTCCAACTCGTAACTGTAAGAGTCCTGGGTTGGACTTCACCATTAATCGGTATGACAGTTATAAAGTTGCAGTTGTGCAGTTTCAAACTATTTTGGTCTGTCATATATTAGTGGTGAAACAGCAAGAATAGGCAGACTCAAGTGTCGGTATCGGTACTGACCAAACTACAGGTTAATCACACCATGTATGGGGCCGAGTCTATCACTTTGATCACTCAGCTACTGCGGTCCCTGACATATCTCAATTTTTATGTTTGAACAATAATAAAACAAATTTTTTTTAAAATAATTTTATTTATCACATCTACACTATATTTTTTAGGAAAGAAAAACTGACAAGGAGATACAGTTGAAAGTAATAATTGTCATGTTTTCAAATATACTTTATTAACACTTATTAACTGCAAAACAAAATTTGCAATAAAAAGCTTGAACAAAATTTAAGTTAAAATTTGACAGAAAACAATAATAATTTTGGAGCCTAAATAAATTATATCAAATAAATAAATAAAAGCATACTGATGCTTTTTCTTTGTAAAAGTATATAATTCGTATTTGCTTTAAATATGTATTTTATTTTTTTCTTAGAAACAGTCTATTTGTACAATTATAAAATTAAATAAATCTTGAATTAAAACTAATTCATTCCATTGTTTGTTTTGGTTTTCAAAATGAAGTACATGGGTAACATGAAAATGTAAAGCTTGTAACTTAATCATTTTGCCAAGGTACGACACCACATTAAAACAAACAATGATCATTTTGAAAGGTTTTTAAGTGGCATTTAAAATAAAAACCTCATTAGGTTATAATTTAATTATTAAATTTATAAAAGCATTGTATTGCAATTCTTTATTATGATTATTAATAAAAGGAGATTATTTATATTCTTTATCTATTATTGGAAATTTAATTACCAACATAATCAAAACATACTTATATTTTATATAATTATATCCTAATATAAACCTTTTTTTAAAGGTTATTTTTAAACAAATTTGATCACTATAAATTTCTTATACACTGAAAATGAGAGATCGTAAAAAAGATTTTTATTTAAAAGGCAAAATAACATATAAAGAGAAAAATAAGTCTTGCAGTTTATACTGAACAAATTACACATAGAATTGAATTTAATAATTCAGTTAATTGGTCGAGTAAATGTCAGAGCTGGAAATATGGTCAAATTTGAAATCCTTCCATTCCAAAAAATTCAAAATGAATTGAATTCATTCTTAATTGTTTCATATGTAATGTTTTTTATATATTTCAATCAACCATTAACACTAAAATCATTGTATTAATCACCCTTTTAAAAATACCACTGAAAATTGTTAACTAATAGTATGAACTATAAGGGCAAGACAAATTAATATTAAATCTAACTAGAAAACATGTTATGATTTATGATAATGACTTGTTTAATAGCTGCTACCTTATGTCTGACTACCTATCGAACGAGACAAAGGGTCAGACCAGAGAACACTCACTCGATTAAAACTTTTTAAGAAATGTCAGGTATCTAACACAGCACCACATACACACACGATTGGGCACCCTAACTGTATCTGCTGTCACGGTACCCTTAATAAATAATGAGAGCAATGAAGGACAGAAAAGTCAAAGAAGAAATCTACACAACAGGGTTAAATGGAAAATTGGTGTAAAATCATACCAAATCTTCTCTCTTGGAAAATAAGTGAAAATCGAATAACACGAATAAAAAACACTCGATATTCTTCTTGTACTAAATAACTTTTTTTTTTAGACAAATGAAAAATTAAATAAAACAAGATTTGTCCAGTAACAAAAATTCTAGCTGCACATAATAAATTCCTGTGTAAAAAAATTATTCATACATCAATCTGCCCTTTTTATTAGTAAAATATCAATTTAACTATCCCTGATATCGGGAGTAACATCACAATTGTGTATGGCATATAATTATAAATACCAACAATCAATTTGGTAACACCAGATACAATATTTTATTTATTTTCATTTATAAATACTAAAAACAAAGTAAGTACTTAACAATGCTTTCATTAATCTGTAGTTGTTTTATTCTTTACTAATTTAATAATGTTAATCTGCAACATTGAGCAATATTTTAAGCTCAATATTGTGTAAACCAATATCAAATTTCAGCAAATTACTTCTATCTTCCTTTTAAATAAATACAGTGTTTTTACAATTTAAAAATTACATAAATAGGGCCTGAGATGACATACTATTTGGACTAACTTTTTAAAATTTTATTTTTTAAATTAATAAAATTACATTGTTTTTAAGTATTTTAAATACAGTTTAAAATTAATTCTAAAAATAAAATAAATTACGAAAAACTATGCAGTCTTATTAACTAATGTAAAAAATAATTAGAAAATATTTAACTGAAAATTGTCCACAAATATTAAAAACTTCCAACAGTGTACCTAAAGTAGTGGGACTGGGTTTGAACTTAGAGAATCTCCCAATGAGAATGAATAATATATGCCTAGTAGCAGATAACGCTACAGAAAACCATTGTCAGGAGAATTTTAAAACAGAGACATACTCAACAAATCCCAATCAATGATACTTATTTTGTCGAGGAGGTTTTATACCTGGAGTACACTTCTTAGAATCCTCCTCATCTTCCCTCTTAATCTCTGTGAATCTTTCACCTTTCAAGCTGACTATCTTGTTATCTCTATACCTAACCATTTTCTTTGGTTCCTAATGGAAGAAAAATAAATCATAAAACATTTTGTTATTGACAGGATTATTAATTATTTACCGATTTTGGAGCAACAGGGCGATGTTCCCTTGTATCATCATCCTTATCGACAAAACTGTACCTAGCTATGATCCTAGATTTCAACTCTTGATCATCAACCAACGATTTGTGTTGTCCTCCATGCTATTACATTTTAAATTCTAAACATCTGGACAATTTTATTTTATACACTTTTATATTTGTTACCTGAATAATAGAATTGTGATTAAGCGTTTGCCCAGCTTCTTGTCTGTGCAACACAAGCTGGGCCGCAGTTGCGACATCACTGCCTGCGACAGTTAAGCAGTGCCTTGCTTCTATTTCAGATAAGCCCGGAAACATTTCTTGTAAAATCTGGATCTTTTCATAATCCGCTATATCCTAAATTTATAAAATTAAGAAAAATGTACAATTTATTGGAAATACTTATTTTCTAAACTATAACTAGTATATTAAAAAATGCAGGAAATATAACAGTTCATTATTTTTTTCTTATTTATTTTTTACTCTTATTTTTCGGTTGTTGACTTGTTAAATTTATTGGGTTCCTTTTCAGAAATTAGACAACCATTGAACTCTTTTTTTTCTTATTGGTGAACTGTAATTTGGTCATTTCCGAACATTCAGGTATGCTTATCATTTTTCCTAGAAAACATTGCCTGAAAACATGCTAGCTCTTACATAATCCAAACAATGATCAATTAATCAAAAAGAATATTGAATTGTGAAATATGGGTTGAGGGGCTTAAGAATAAGTCCTTGTTCAATGGGATTGCAGTCCAGGACTTGAAAAAGTTTATCAAAGGCTTAGAGAAGCTAATATCAGAAGTACTAAATCTAGGTGTAGAATAATAATTTGCTAACTGAAGACTGAAGACTCCAGAGCAGCAGAAACAAGCATATGCAGATATTGACAGGAAGAAGAAGAAACGAAGGAATTTGTCCTATGTTCATGCAAAGGCTGGTGCCGACTGAGTTTCCTACTCCTGGTGAGGAAAAGCCTGGGATAAAAAGTTACACACGGGAGTCCTTAACAAAGCTTTGGATCTGGTAAAAAGCCTTAAGCTTACGAGGAGCTTTAGATAATGGAGTTGCACAATAGACTTGTACAGTCGCGGTGCAAAGGTCATAAAGAAGTCGACTTTTACTTTTTACTTTTAACCTTAACATGTTAGGGCCTATAAAGTCTTACATTTATTTATGTTACTAAGTTATTTAATTACATTAGCACATTATTCTATGGGGTCAAAAATTTAATTTTCATGATACATTCCAATTGTACCAGTGATAAAAGATTCGATCAGGATGCCACAGTGGAAAATAAGTACATATAGATCATGACTGACAAAAAAATCAACACTAAAAATGACAAGAAGCTGAAGTGTGTCTGACAAGCTGAAACAACAAGGCTAAGCCGAGTATCATAATAAGAAATTACCAAACTGATCAAAATAAATTTTCACCAGGCTGAATCGCATTTTAATGAGCTACATCCAGAGCGTCCTGTTAGTTTATGATATTTGAGGAAATTGTGAAATTTTCAAACACGTAAAACAATTAATTTACTATCAACTAAAATGATAAATATATAAATTGGTTCTTGGTTGAATAAGTTGGGAGATTTAATTTTTTCAAAAAAAATGTTGCTTTTTGCAAATAACTTCATAATGATTGCTCCAAATTAAAAGTTGTTTACAGCATTGAATTTATTGTCAGAACTCCTTTAAAAAATGACAACTGACGAGTATCTTGCCATAAAAAATAATTAAGCTTCTATTCATATCCTGCTATTCTGGAGAGATGGTAGAAACTTTTAGATTCATGAGAACCTAGACAAAAAATAAAAATTTAACATGTCTAGTTTTCCTGAAAATGCCCCAAAAATATATGAAGGGGTCACAGAAGTTATATTCATCTTGTATAGGATAATTATTATCTCAATCCAACAATTGACCAAATGATAATGGAATAATAAATTATGCCATTCTAAAGAAATAAGCAATATCACAGTCTTATCTTCTTTGACTAGTTACTATACAAATAAGCTTGTGTAATATAATTAGCCAAATACAATATATTTATAAATATGGAAAAATAGGACTTAGCCTGTTTTCCCACAAAGTCCTTATATAAGACATATTCGCTCTTGACAAAAACAGTTTTTTTCTGTAGATCTTTTAATCTACAATTATTTCCCCAATCCTAATGTTTGAAAAATCCCCTTTTACCATGTTATAAGTTTTTAAAAATAATAAATGATATTAAATATACTGAATTTACTAGTCTGGGGAAAATTTGCTTCAAAATTAAAAGAGCTAAACCAAAGAATTCTAACCATGATGGTACAACAATGGTGCTTATAACGGGTAATTACAGCAAACCTCTGAAAAACTACACTAATTGCATTTACCTGGAAAAGAAACCCAGAAATCAACTATGGAGATTATCAACCAGCTAATTCAATGATCTCAGTTATCAGGTTTGTAGTCAAGATAAACAGCAAGGTTTTGTTTTATTGCCAAGCTTTGGACGGTATAGTTAGTCATTCTCCAGGCGCTACAATGAAACACAAGGCCTATTCTTCTATAATGAAATGCTGCAGTTAAAAAATGAGGTTAAATGCCTAGGGATAATCATAGATAAGAAATTAAATGTAACTCTCACCTGCAACACCTCATAACAAAAAGTAAAATAATACAAATGACGACAAGAATTCTACGCAAATCTTACGGACTAAAACCAAATATGGCTTTTTGACTATATATGTCAGTAATAAGACCCAAATCCTATGGTTCACTAATCTGGTGGACCAAAGCTCAACAAAAGAAGCTACCCAAAAAATTAGACAGCATAAAATGATTGGCAAACCCATTATCACAGGGGCAATGAAAACAAAACAGTCAATTGCCCAAGAAACACTGCTAAACCTTCCTCCATTGGAAATCTTTACGGAAGGTGAAGCGAGGAAAAGTTCATTTAAGCTCTGTAAATAATCAAATTGGATGGGAACAACTCTTCAGGCACACAACAATAATTAAGATCAGGCACCCATTCTTATAAATGGGGACTAATTACATGATCCCGGAAACACTCTTTACAACAGCCTATAAAGGCTCAACAGACTACAAAAGGAACAAAAATTAAGGAGTAATTCAGATAAATTAAATGGTAGATGGCTCGAAAACAAATGAAGGAACTGGATCGGGCATTTTCTGTACAAGCACAAACTATGAGCAATCATACTCGTTAGGGAAGTATACTCCAGTCTTTCAAGCCATCACATCAAAATTAATTAGAGAATGCATCCAAAATCTCCAAAACCTGGGGAATCACAAGATATTTTGGGTACCAGAATTCGGAATGAACATGGCTACTGTTCTCTCTGAGAGGTAACAATTTAAGAACTCATTTAAGAATGTTACCTACACGAAATTGGTAGATGGGCTCATTCTGAATTCATTGTGGGGACATTCTTAAGTTAACACTTTTGTAAACTTTGCTCAAAAATTCTGAGTAAGGTGTCATAGATGGTTAAAAGCTCAAGACATAGGAAGTAGTTGGTTTTTTTAAATTTTTTCCCTCGTACCTTCATCCCTTACCTAAATCCCCACTAATTATTTTTGAAGGCTGATCATCTTTGCCAACGGCTGATTTATTCAGTTTTACACTGTCAATTTGAAGAAGTGAAATAAGGCCCTCTTCCATGCTCTCCTGGTTCATCTTATGAGTTAGGTATATGCTAAACGTGCTGAATTCAGGATACTAATTTAATTCTACCCCGAAATTCGCCTTACTTATTCACAATTCAGATATCGTTTTAGTTTTATTTGTAAATATATATCAAATTAAATTCCAAGTTACCTCATGAGCATAATATTCACCACTACTGTCGGAACTACAACTGCCATCGCTGGCTTCTGAAATCTGGTGTTTCCTATGAGACTTTCCTTTGCCTCCACTTGAGCATTCCGAAGATGAGTTTCGATTTCTGCTTAAAGAGATGGGAATCAATAATTCTGAAAGGTCCCGTTCAATGTACGAATCGCCTGGAATATAAAGTTGAGTAGATTTCAAGTTATCACACATTAACGTCTTTTCTTTTTTTTCTAACCGTTATGTCTCGTCCTGCGAAGGGTTGCTTCAAGTTCGAACATCCACTCACACACTATAGGAAGGCTGATTTTGGAAAATTCAGGAAAATAAGCTGCCATCATTTCGCAGAATCCTTCGGCATCGAAAGCCTCTTCGATGTCTCCGGTCGTTTCTTCTCCCAGGTCTTCCAAAATGCTTACAACGTAGCTTAGCACTATTTCATCGATTGTGCTAGTATAATAAGTAAACTTGTTAAAATTTGAACAGCCTAAATATAAATAAACTTCAATTACCTGATCTGTGCACTTGGTATATGCTCCATTAGAAATCTGAATAAAGATTCTTTTACAATGTCCTCTTTTTCCTCGGTTGCCGTTTTATTCATTTCTTTTATCGGTAATGTAGATCTGAAAACCATTTATTTTGAACCTAAAAGGATTCCTAACAAAAAAGAAAGGTAAAAGGGGAAAATCAATATTTTCAGAGACCAAGATATCAGAGTGGCAACGGCGAAACGGAGATTTGCCGATGATATACCTTAAATAGATCGGAGGAAATTTTATTTTTTCAGACGGATTCTCACGATCCGACGATCTCTGAGATGAAACGCCGATTCGGATCCGTAAAGTTGAAACAAACAAACTCTAAGCTGGAAAATGGCTGCTATTTCAAAGAGTTTTGTCAAGAGAGCGTTCGCCTGTAAATTCCGTCAGTTTACCAAACACAGCTGATTCCCGCATGCTGACAACGACAACCGATGACAACTGCTACCGCCGAGTGCGGTGTCATTCTCAATTTTTTCAAACAAACAAAACCACCAACAACGACAGTCCATTTATTTATTTTTTATTTACGTGTGGAGGCCAATAGCCTAATTTACTAAAATATGTAACATATAGATAGATAAACAATAAAGTATATTAAAATAATTAAAACATTGGGAAAATATAAAATATATATACATACTATATACATAAACTATAAAAGTATACATAAAATAATTAAAATATGGGAAAAAATAAATATATATATACATAAAAAATATTACGTTAAATATAAAGGGGCAATTTTTTTTACATTATAAAACTTTTTTTTAATATACAAGACTAGTATTAAATAAATCTATATTTAGTATATTTCCTGCTAAAAGAACATATAATACATGCGGACAACAACCACCGATGACAACTGCTACTACTGTTGAGCAAGTGTCATTCCCTTTTTTCAAACAAACAAAAAACCACCTGTCACGGCAATCTATTTATTTATTTACATATACAGGCTTATAGCATAATTTACTAAAATACATCAAATATACAAATATAAACTATAAAATTACACATAACCAAATTAAAATGTTGGAAACATAAAATATATATACGTACACATACACATACCGACTAGTCCTAACATTAAATGACTGATGTTAGGAGTGAGTCAGTCTTCAAAGAAATATGAGGTGCCTGTAAAAATCCTAAATATGTCAATGGGTAGATATATTTAAGACTGCTATGATCATGGTCTTAAAATAGGTTAAAAGCTTGGCAGTAACAACTAATTTTTTTCTTCTTTTTTTTTTCTTTAAGACCATACATTGTACCAGAGTGGTTGTTTCGTATTTAGGTACATTGCACCTTGAATATCAATGTTCAGAACAGATATTGTGAGATCCTAGTTGTATGAGTCAATCAAAATTGGGGTTCAAATGTATATGAGTATGTCAGGTATACCTGAACCAGTTGCACTACCTAAGAAAGCAGTGTTGAACCGTTTCCATAGTATTGATTTGAGGGGAGTAGTGAGGAGACAATAGAACAAAATTCACTTGTTGGTCAAACAAAAGAGGTAAAGTTAATAAGTAATATTTCTAATCTACTTTTAAAAGATTTTGAATAGCAAAAATGCAAGTGTTTTTAGAGCTTTATAGCAAATTTTAGATATAATATGGTATCTGAAGGATAATTGATAGTAAAAGTGATGCCTAAATCTTAAGTAAAAGTTTCATTATTAATATAAGATGAAATTTAAGACAATAAATCAGGTAATTCTAGAAAAGGAAATATAATTGCATTTAGAGATATTAAGTTAAAGATCATTCAAAGGACCATGTGTCCAGAGAAGTAAGGTTGTCTGAAGTATGACTTGATCAGATCTTGATTTAATGAACTTAAATATTTAAATCCATCAGCAAAGAGTAGAAGTTTAGTAATTAAAAAAAGTAGTTGAAATTCGTTAATAAAGTCAAGAAACAAAAGTGGACCAATATGAGAGCCTTGAGGTATACCTGAAGAAGAATGAAATGCTATTATGTGAATTATTTTAATTGCATATATTTACAGCTGTTTTATTTAATAATTTATACTTAAAATGTCCATACTTGTTATATTGTTTTTGTTGTATTGTAATTCTAGTTCAGTTGTTGCTTTAATTAGTTTTAACATTGGCAAACTGCATTGGTCATCGCCAGTCCTCTCTTCTTATTTTACATTTTTCATATCTTTCTCGCGTTTTAATCCTACTAGTTTCTTTTGCTTTGCCTATAAAACAAATAAATAAAAAAATTTAAAAATTTTTAAAACATACAAAGCAGAAACTGGATATATATTTAAATATATATGTTATTTCACATGTAATTAGTTTTAAAAAAATAGAAAATATATGTCTTTGTATCAAAACATTTGCAGATATGATTTTGTATCGTTGAATTTATGCCTTATTTTTTCATTTAGTCTTAATTTTATATTATAATCAATATTATATATAATCAATATAAAAATAAACATTTTATATTTTTTAACATTTCAATACATTCAATTCAAGTAGTCATTCTCACTATCCCAGAGTACTCAACATTTCTTAGGGGAATTGGGGATAAATCTCTCCATTCACGCTAATAAATTACATTCGCACATTCATTCACTCTAGTCCAGACTGTTTGATATTCCAAGAGTATGTTTTGTAATGAATCTCTATATTAGCTCTCCCAAGTATATTGGTAACTATTGTATAATTTTAATAGGCTTTGCCTGTAAAACAAATAAATCAATTTGTTGAAGTTGTAAGGAGCGGCCAAGAATGAGCTGTTTAGAAAAACACCTTTTTCAATTTTTCTGCCTACGTTTCGACCTTTATTCGGCTCATCTTCAGGGCATAAAGTGCTATTCTTATGGTGTCATGTTGGTTTTGTGTGAAAGCGTTGTCACCTTCACACAACTATTTTTATATAGGGGGTAAATGGGGCCTAACAACATCATTCACGTTAATAAATTACATTCGCACATTCATTCACTCTACCCCAGAGCGTTGTATATTTCTCTGGTGTTTTGTATTGAATCTCTATAGTAGTCCTAAGTATATTTGTAACTATCGTATAATTTTAATATGTTTTGCCTGTGAAGTAAATAAATATATTAAAAAGTTTCAAAACACAAAGCAGAAACTGGGTATATATTTAAATATATGTGTTATTTCACATGGAGTTAGTTTTTTTAAAATTGGAAAATGTATGTCTTTGTGTCATAACATTCGCAGATATGATTTTGTATTGCTGAATTTATCCTTATTTTTTTAGTCTTAATTTTATGTTATACTATTTATAAAGTAAAAATAAACGTTGTGTACTTTCTAAATTTTTTTATGTTCAATTCAAAATGAATTTTTTTCCAAGGACGAAATGCATTTTTGAGGAATATTCGTTAAAATTGGATCGACCACCAGGGGGCGAAGTTGTAGGCTGCATCAGAAAGAAAAAATCTCCGACCTCAAAAAAACAATTTTCTTTCGTCAATCCTCCCTTCTTTTTGGACTCAACTAGAGATCCGGCAACCCTGAAAATTGCAACTAGCATGTACGTCGAGGACTCAAAATGTTATATTAAAACTTACTTGACAAAATGTAACAATGGGGAAAAATTACACCGAAGTTTTTTCACAGTTTAAATTATTTTTTAAAGAATATCTTGGTATTATTTTTTTAAATATTCGTTAAATAAGTTCGATGCAATTTGTTTAACAGTCGATTCTGATGGAATAATTTCTCTTGGGTGTTAGTTTAAATAACGAGAAGTGAAATGAAGGTAATTATTTTAAATATTAATAGTCTATCGTGCAGAATCGATCAATTAAACGGATAAATAAAGTAGTAATAAATTAGAAACGGTTTTATATAATGTGACTGTCGATGACGAAATAATGTTTAAACATTTGTAAAGTCCGGTTAAATATTAGTTAATAATATAATAGAAAATGTGCTATTATGAGTTGAAAGGGTAAAGGAATTAAAAGTCTGTGAGGTCTTGGAAGTGCAGGTGAGAAAATAGAGTCGTTTCGTGACTGTGGCTCTTATCTGGCAACGATGGAAAGAAGAAACATCTGTCTGTGAGAAATACCGCGCTTTTCACCCCTTCTCCGTTTTTAAGGTACGTTAATGGCCGCTTCCGTCCCGACAAGTCATGTAACTGAGGCCGACGTATTCTTTTCTCGTCCTATTTCGTTTATCAGTGTGTAAAACATCTCGGACCGGTTTGATTTCGAGTATTTTATGTTTAAGACCGAAGAGCATAAATGGATCTTTCGTGCAGCGACGAAGAGTTGGACTTTATAAAAAGGCCGCCGCCGATATACGTTGGGAACGTGAGCGAAGGGGATGGAAACGAGATGGACGTCAATCGTCCCGCGACACCTCCGATGGACGACTCGCTCAAGTTGAGCAAATCCCTGGGTCTCATATTCTCGCCGCACAGCCCTCCTTGCCGTAGGATAAGGTCGATGAAATTGATCGAGTCGCCGGCACAGTTCGGCAAGAACAGGTTACAGCCGGTCTTCACCTCTACACCGACGGCGTCTTCGCCTTGCCTTCAACATTTCTACAAGAGGATCGTCAAGACTGCTCCGAGATCGGCTCGGCCGAGGAATTTCCTGTCACCGAGAGAAAAGTCAGCTACGTTCACAGACAACTCCGTCTCCCCGAGCTCTCTTATCAACCCTCTCAGTACGTCGAAAATCGTCGAAATCAAATCAAAGAAGAGGCTCAAAAGGTAAACGATTTCATAAAGAATTTAATTTTATTATTTGACGTTTGACAATTATTACAATGCTGTTGTTAACAACAATACCAACTTGTCACCAATTAAATTCACCTCGAGTTTGCCAGAAAGCAATTCAACTACCAATTTGGAATTTATGTTTTTATTTTCTTCTGCCCTTGAGAATCAAGAGTATTGGGTGCGTTCCTAGATGTAGTACAGGCTTTTGATGGGATCTGGCACTCGGCATGCTTTATAAACTTAACCCAGTAGTGCTCAGATTTTTTTCTTCTTGTAAATAGGTAATATTGGACTCTAAAATACTTAATTGTATTTTTTTAATTGTGTCAGAAATCAATATGATACAAAATATATACACGTGGACAATTAATATGAAAAATAGAAAAAAACATTTCACTGGCATGGTAAAAAACTGCCAGGGTTGAGCATTAATTTTATTATTTGACGTATGACAATTACTTCAATACTCGTGTTCACCAACTTGTCACCAATTAAATTCACCTTGTTTGCGAGAAAGCAATTCAACTACAAATTGGGAATTATATATATATAGTTTTTTTTAAATTCCTTCTGCCCTTGAGAATCAAGAGTATTGCTTGGGAGCGTTCCTAGAAGTAGCACAGGCTTTTGATGGGATCTAGCACCTGAGCATGCTTTATAAACTTAACTCAGTAATGTTCAGATTAATTTTTTTTCCTTGTGAATTGGTAAAATTAGACTCTAAAATATTTAAATAGAAAAATAGTTTATTTTTTATTTTACATTTTTTTTGAAAGGGCCAGAAATCATATGGTACAAAATATGTATACATTTGTATACAGTTAATACAAAAAATAAAATACATATTCCAATATAAGGCATGAAAAAAAACCGTCTGCCAGTTGAGCGGATTACTTTTATATTATTATTTTTTTTATTGTATTCACCGAATGCCTGTTGATGCCAAACATTTGCCAAGGGCAGTGCGAATCCTCAATTTATTACTACCATCATATATACTCAACTTATATTATTACCAATCATGACGGATTCTGGAAACTGTAATTTTTGCAACCTCAGTTAGTGTTTTTTGTAGTGGCTACAAAGTCAATCACATTGTACTGTTGCCCTGCATCAAAAACCTTGTTCTGATTTTGATGATTCGGAAGAGAAGCGTTCCGAATTATTGGTTCAGCTTGATACAGATCGAGAAAGTCAAAGATATTGGCCCAATCCATTCCTAATCGACAAAAACAGTGCTATGATGTTCTTTCATTAGTCCACTTCAAAACCCAAATATTTGGGAAGTAGTCGAACTCAAAGCATCCATACATTTGGGAATTAACAGACTACTTCCCGAATATTTGGGTTTTGAAGTGGACAAGAAACAGACAATTAGCCGAGCATGGCGGGCATCGAATATTGTTGCTTGGTGAATAACTGAGCACCCATCCGAACTAGTTGGGATTCGACAAACCTTTGCTCAGCATTCTGTGAATCCCGCAAGTCTGGAGCCATCTTAAAGCAGACTTTCAGAAGCTGGATTACGTTCGAGAAGGCCTGCCACTGGTCCAGAACCTCTGGCAAGGCACAGAACAGCTCGGTTAAGTTTTGCAAATCAAACCAATTGGTCAGAGCAAGATTGAACTAAAATTGTTTTCGGATGAGTCAAGGGTTTGTTTGAGGTCTTCTGATGGTCGAGAGAGGATTTGGAGAGGGGTAAATCCCCGCCATATTTTCACTCTGGAGAAGCTGTGGAGGTGATGGGCAGGCATTTCTTTGGAAAGTTGAAACTTGATTTCATCAAGGGTTCTATAACAGCTGCACTATATATGGAAGATGTGTTTTCAAGAAGTTGTTCCTTATGTGCCACTAATTTGCCACGGTTGTATCATGCATGACAATGCAAGGCACCACACAGCTAGGATTGTTGGTGACTGACTACTTAAAATGGGCTTCAATTCAATGTGTGGTGATTAGTGACAGTTAGTCGATGATTATTCAGAAATCGTGATATATGGTCTGGTTCAATTCAATGTTGGGAGTGTCAGCATGTAGTCCCGACAAACCCTATCAAACACCTTTGGGACAATTGTCAAAGAGGGTAAAAGTTGCCCAGTGATGCCAGAGAATTTTCAGGAATTAAGAATGGAGCTGTTGGAGGAGTATGGAAATATTCTACAGCACTACATTGAAAATCTCATAAAATCGAGGCCACGTCGAATGCAAGCGGTGGTCAACGCAAGAGAAGGAAATACTTGTTACTGAATTAAATATTTTCCTAGCATACAATTGCATCTTTAAGTTCTATATGTAACTACAATTGAAGTTATGAAATTCAACAACTACGGTTGGGAAAATTAGTTAACTACTGACTAACAGTTATAATTGTATTTATTTTTCACTATAGCTCAAGTGGTTGAGTGCCTGGATCTAGATATTATTGATTTCAAGTCACCCTCTTGACACTTAATTTTACATCTCAACCTTCTTTACATTATAACAGTCGCAACTATAATTTTTTTTAAATTATTGGTTTGTTAACCTGAACTACAACTACAGTAGTTCACTACTGATGTAGTTGAAAAAAAGTAGTTGTTATGGTAACAACAATCAACTAACAGATGCTATTTTTTAATTTTTTTTTAAATTAATTTTTTTAATATCTATTTTCACTTATTTTGGTGATAACATTATAAATAAAATTGGAAAAGCTTAATAATACCACTCAAACCACATTTATTGGTTTGTTTTTGTCTTCTATTACAATTGGATTGGGCCAAACATTCTGCTACAAATTTAGTAGTTTGAAAATAGTTGCAACTATAACTACTATTTCTAATTATTGGTTTATGAACCTAAACTGATTACTCTAGTTGGCTACTATTTGCCACCCAAAATAAAAGTGATTGTAATTACAATTCTCCACTTTATTGAGAATGGCACAACAACTTAATTAGTTGGAAAAAAAATAGTTGTGATAGGAACTACAAAAAATTACAAATTAATTTGCAGCAAATTGTAGTTCTAGTATAATTCCACATTATTGGATTGGGTTTAAGAGAATTAGGCAAAAATCAGTTCAACAACAAATTTCAACACTGAACTGTAGTTGTTATACTTAAAGCCCACTTGTAATTAAAAAAAGATGTAACCAATAAAGATTTGTTGTAAAAAATGTAATGTTTACATGAATTCCATATTTAATTTATGTTTCTTTTCAGTAAATGTTTTCGGACGTCAACCAATCAAAGTTTCACATTTGAATCAGATGAAAATCAAGATAGTGTTAGTCCCACTCACAGAGATTCATCACATTTGGATTTCAAGAAACCAAGGTTAACAGACTTTAATGTTCCTAGATATCAGCAGGTAATAAACTTTTATAAATTAATTTAGCCGCGGTGAATATAATGTTTTTGTATTTTAGGAGTTTTTGGAATTGGAGGTCATTGGTTCGGGTGATCATGGCTGTGTCTTTAGATGTCTTAATAGATTGAATGGTGTTGAGTATGCTGTGAAACGCAGCATATGGCCTATAAATAATGAGTATGATTATTACAATATTCATCTTGGGTGGGTGCATAAGTTTTTTTTGTTTTTCAGAAAAAAAGATCAAATTTACAAAATATAAATTTATGGTTATTTAGAGATTATGAGTTGTGGTCTTGTATGATGTAGGTGTTAGAAAAACATTTTCTTTATCGTACCAGCGTTTCAATCTTTATTGTGATCATCTTCAGGGCCTGGGATTTATAAATATTGTTTAAATTATACAAATACATTTAAGATATGTATTCTGGTAGCAGAAATATCCCTAAGTCTGATGACTTGGATGAGAAGAAAAGATTTTTTTTTCTTTTGAAGTGGTTGTCGATGAAGTGGAACAAGTAAAAATTAGAAGGGGCAAAGGTCTGGAGTCTTGGATGATGCAAACAACTGTTGTCTAACTGGATGATTTTTCTCTGAATGAATGCAGCTGTGCGAGGCATGGTGTTGTCAGGGCTGGATGTTTTCCTTTAATGTTGGCCCAAGAACTTTAGTTAGAGGCCACTGTATACTTCTGTCGTAAGGGTTTGATTGTGTGGGAACAGTTCCTAATAAATGATCTCTCGTATATCCCACCAAACAGAAATAAGACCTTACACAAGGGGACAGTCTTGCCATTGACGTTGATAAGTGACATTTCATTCTTTTTGCAAATGGTCCTTCAGAGTTAAACATTTTTGCAAAGGACTCACTTCTCATCCATTGAGCAAATAAGAAATAAACCCTTTTCATTAATTCCTATTCAGATGTGAACTGCAACAAGCCATGCAGTCTTGTTCCTTCTAAAGGGTTCCCAAAAAGTCGAGTTTTGCATTGTAACCCAGAATTGGGTTCTTTATAATGTTGGACGATGTACTTGAAATATCTTTGAAAGCTTTGCTACAGTGAATTTCTCCTCATCCTTTAAAGCCATCAATAAGTCATTACTTTTAATAAGTACGTTAGCTGTTCCAAAATGAGGCTTGTATTTGATTTATCTTTCTCTATTATGAAAACTGTAGACTCACATGTTCAGTATTACATTTTCACCATAAATTCCACATACATTTTGACAGGAATGTGTCAATATGCCCGAAATCGAACTATTATAGCAAGCAATGTCTCAAATGAAGTTGTTTATCTGCTTCCATATCGTTGCAGTTTATTCTAGACTGACTTTTGGGATCAACTACCCCTTTCGTGGGTAACAGGTAATAAAGGATTACCTTTATAAAAGTGAGTTGAAATTTGAAAAACTGAAAAAAACTTATGAGCACACCCATTTTTACATGAAAATGTGGTATTGTTTTATTTATTGATATGTTGTTTCTAGGAAAGTTGCTCATAATGAGATATATGCCCATGCTGTTCTTGAGCACCCTAATATAGTTAGAAATTATTCAAGCTGGACTGAAAACGATTATCTTTTTATGCAAAATGAATACTGTAACGGGGGTAGCCTCGAAGACTTGATTACATCTGGTCCTTTGGAGGAAAGGACGCTCAGGAAGATCTTAGAGCACATTGCCCAAGGGCTAAGGTATTATTATTATTATTAAAAATATTTGTTTATAATAAATTTCTTCTGATATTTACTTTTAGATTCATCCATTCAAAAAATCTGGCACACATGGACATTAAACCAGGAAATATCCTTCTCCACAGAGATGCCAAAATGTTTTATAAGCCTTATGAAATTGATGAATTCTGTGATGATGAAAATTCAAACGAAGAAACCATATACAAGATCGGTATGTTTATATATTAATAAATATGCAATAATTGAACAACATTTGAAAAATGATTGGTGATGTGAATAATATTAATTTGAAACCATTTTGAAAATATACAATAATAATTTTTCAAAATATATTAAATAAATAGCAAGTAATTAAATCTTATTTTTACTATGTGTCTATCATTTGTTCATATTTGATTTTAGGTGATTTAGGGCATGTAACCAGGCTCGATGAGGTTGTAGATTTAGAAGAAGGAGACTGTCGTTACCTCCCAAAAGAGATCCTTCAAGACGATTATTCTCATTTAGACAAAGTTGATATATTCGCTTTAGGTATTTACACATTCAATTATCAAATATTATTAGAAATGCCATTATTTGACTGTTGTTTATATATTACAGGCTTGACACTTTATCAAGCAGCTGGTGCGGGACCTCTTCCAAAAAATGGCGACGAATGGCATAATATCCGTTCAGGAAGAATAAAACAATTTCCCAACCTTGGTAACGACTTCAATGACTTAATTAAGGTATTATAAATCTGTTTGCTTTAATACTTTATTTGTAAGTTACCTTTCTTTTTTTTTTTACTTTCCACCATTAGAGAATGATTCACCCAGATCCAAATACTAGGCCAACTGCTAGTGATCTCCTTTCGCAAAATTTAAGTTCACCTATATACAAAACTGTGAAGGATAAACATGAGCTGAAAGCGGCAAAACAGAAAATACAACTTCTGGAACAACAATTAGCAGTAAGTGTAAATTATATTCTTTAAAACTTGAAAAGGTTCTATAGATTGTACAACCCAAACCTAAAGAACCTTTTTTATAATTAAAATCTGATTTTTGGACTGCCCTTTTTTTCTGTACTAATCATGACTTTGGCAGTGTTTAAGGGGCAGTGCAAAATATATTCAAAGGCAAATTGAACATGCAACTAAAGTCGGAGGTAGTCCAGGTACATTTTATAATTAATTAATTTTTGTTTTAATTAAAAGGTTTTTGAAAATTGGCAGTCTGTGTTGTTACTGTCTTTTTAAATTAATAAACTCCAAAATATTTTTTTAAAATAATCCTAATAGTTTTAATTCAAAGTAACATATATAGATTAATTTTAATAATGCAAAGGTATATTTTAAACTCTCAAAAGGAAAACATTTCATACTAAGCAAAAAATTATTTATAATTTAAAATATTTTTTTAATTTTCTTTTGGTTTTTAATTGGGCATTTTATTTTGTTTTTCTCAGAACAGAGATGTTTAATTGAATTGAAAGTCAAAGCAAAACTATCCAAGTTCCTGAAACTTATATCGCTCGATAAGTTAAAGAAGATCCGTGATGGTAAGAGCACAAGGAAAAATTAGGGCAAACCAGATAGTCTCACTGTGATTGAGCAGTATTGTTAATTGTCCACTTGATAGTTTTTGTTTAATTATTATTACAAAAACCAATATATGATTTCTATATGGAGTACTAGGGATTAAAAACATTTTAATTTCTCAATCTAATCCTTCTAATTAGTGTCAATAGAAAATTGTAATTAATTATTGAAAAAATATTGATGTTACAAACTAACTTTTATTTTTATTGATGTCACAGATAGATTTTGTTTAATGACTCAAGTACATAACAATTATACATTTATTATATCCAAACATATACTGATCACATTCTGATCCCACATAAAATATTCAATTATTGAAAATAGTATTCAAGTATACTTCTTTAACTTGTCAAGCTGTAAGTACTTGGTACTGTAAGTATTTTGGGTGTGTGCATGTTGGTTTTAAACAATGTAACGGGATAATCAAACTTCATAGAAAGTTTTTTCATCCATTATTTCCCAAAGGATGAGAAATTTTTTATGCAGTTTAAACTATATTGTATTTTATGTTATCTATTGTCTTCAATTATATTTTTATTTACCATTTTATTAGATTTAACTAATCAAATTCACAATATCTTCTGATTCATTTTTATTTATTTATTTTTATTATTCAAATCACTAGCCCAACTACATTCAAAGAGTTTAACATTAGTGCATATAATATGTCACATTTAAAAATTTAAGACATCAGATTGACCACTCGGTATTTTCACAGTATTCACTGAAGGAGAAATGGTTACTTAATATCATTGTAATTTAAAATAAATTATCACACTATATCATAGATTTTTTTACACTATTTTCACATTTCTTGTAGCATACAAGTTTCAGACGTATTGCTTTTTTCCTCTTAATTTGAAATGGACAAGCACCTTTGACTTTACTAAGTCTGGAATGGAACTTGTTGAATTGTTTTATTGGGCTGGTGCAAAAATAATGCAGGTTTTGAAAAGGCAGTCAAAACTATTTTTAATTTTTATTAAATAAAGAAAATTTATTCGAGATATTTTCCATCTTTGCCAACTTGTAAAGGGCACGTTTACATGTTCATGCAATTTGCACCAATTGACTTGTGCAAATACGTTTGCACAAGTAAATCTTGTGTGTAAACAGAAGCGTGACGTTTGTGTAAGCTGAAATGTTTGGCTTGAATAAAATCTGTCCTGCTAAAAAAATTGCATGATGTTGGTGCATGAGCGTGTGAACGGGATTGCTCCAATCTTCCAGTCTAGCGCCTGCGCTTTGATGACAGTTGTAATCATTCAAAGGACAGCAGACATTTGTTATCAGCTGTTTGTCTATAATAATTATTATAGTTTATGGTTGTTACTGGTTATTTTTGATGCCCTGCTTTGTTTTTTCCTGAAATGGCGAAAAAAGAGAATGAGTTTCTCCGAGAATTTATAGAGTTATGTAAATCGTTTCTGTGTTTGTGGAAAGAAAAGAATATACTGATCTGAATATGAAATCTCAAGCCTACGACAATGTGGGTGAAAAACTCCTGACCGTTTACCCTGAAACCACCAGAGATACGGTTGTAAAAAAAATTAATTCGCTACACACCACATACAGAAAAGAATTTTAAAAATGTGTTGAGTCTTAACACTAAGCATTATAGCACTAAGAGCTGATTTGGAAATACATGTGGAAAATTTCACATCCCCGTAACTTCTCCCTGTTGCCAAAAATCTCAATGTAGCTGAGAGTCGTTCCTGAGGGGTAATTGCACGTCTCGTAACAGTGTCTCCTTGTGATATTAATGGTGAAACTAAATTGAGTAATTGCTGGTAACTGGTTTCATCCATATGTAGATAATTTCAAAACTCATCAGGTTCACTGCGTAGTTCGTTAATTAAATTCGTATGTGAAAACAAATTTCTTTTTAATAACCAGGGTTTAAACTATCTTCTCTTTTTTCTTCAATAACGCTTCTTGTTTTTTCTTGATAACGCATATCGCAACTGTCGCAAGAATTAATTCGTCAACCTTTTCCATTTTTGTAAATCAATAAATAAGGCAATCAATATAAATGTAATATTTGACAATTGATAAGTTAACACTTGATGCCGATTCGGGGGGGGGGGGACCTTAGCCGAGTGGTTAGTGAGAGAGATTCTCGGCTCATAGACCCCGTGGTCGTGGGTTCAATTCCTACCGATGCCTCTGGCCTTTTTTTCACGATACCCTTTCTCCCAAAACGAATGCGCATAACATATTGTCTGGCATTGACTTAAAAAAAAATGCCAATGAAGAACTGCACAAACTAGTTTGAACGGCCTGTTTAGTTCAGTTCATTTGCGCAAGTTTGCTTGCACAAATCGGCTTGTGCTTTTTTTTTTTATTTTTTTTTTATTTTTTTTTTTATTTTTTTTAAATAACTGCCCTACCGACATTCAGTCAATGTCATTTTGTTGGTGACTATGCCAACCGACCCGGGTCACCGCCAAAGGGCACCCCCACATACGTCCGCTTCTCATTGTTTAAATTACATGAGCGTTTAAACGGGTCTTAATAAGTGCTTTTATTCTGCTGACATAAAAATCTTTATATTGATTTGAATAAAGTCTTGAAAGGTGTTTTTAGCTTCAGCGTTTCTATAAAACTTTTATTCCTCAAGAAGTGATCAAAATACCTAAACAAATGGAAGTCTGTAGGCGAGAGGTCGGGTGAATGTGGAGGGTGCGGTAAGGTTTCATATCCTAAGTTAAGTTTCCACATGGTGGCCTGGCATAATTGTGAAGAAAAATCAGCCCTTACAATTTACCAATGCTGGATCAGACGCAGTTTCCTGTGCATTTTGTCAATTCTCTGTTGTGATATTTTCATCATAATTCAGGAAATTAGAGTGAACAACCCCAGCAGTACACCAATCATTATAACCTTTTTTGGGTGCAGATTGGGTTTCATGAAGTGTTTTGGTGCTTCAACCTAGTCCAACCACTGACCTGTCCACCTGTTATATAGTTAGGGATGGTTTGGACTTTGGTTAGTTCGTGCCACTTGTCGAGCTTCTTTACTTTACCAATTTGGTCCTGCTGGTGAACAACGGTTGAGTGGTCAACATTAAGCTCTTCCACAATTTCCCATTTCTTGTCTTGTCACCAACCTAATAAATTTAACTAGAATAATAATGCTCAATACTCTATAGGCATTTGATCCAAAACAATATGCTCTTACCAGCTTAATTCAGTATACAGAGAAACCCTCTTATCTGGCAACCTCTATAGTGACCACCTCTCTTAACAGACAATTTTCGCATTTCTAGCAAAAAAGATTTTACGCATTTTTAAACCCCTTCATACCAATTGAGGACACTGCTGTTAGTCCTCACCAAAGAAAGTAACCCCTCTAAAATGGACATAAAAAGTAAAAATATATTAAATGTCTGTAAGAAGAAAAAAAAATATGATCATGTATAAAAAGAATTTAACATAAAAAATGAATAAACTTTTCTGGGCCGATTTTAAAAGGTTAAAAGGCATCCTCACCTGTCTATATTCTCGGCCGCTATGTGGCCTCCCCAGCCTGATTTATTTTGCATCGTGCATCAAAATTTGAAAGGTTTGCTTCAAATCACTAAATCACTCTTACTCCTTTTGAGGTGCACCAATTCCATTCAAAATTTGACAGTACATTTCTCATGTTATAGTTTTCAACGGAAGTAAATAAATAAAAGGAGAAAAAGAAACAGTTTTTTTCCATAAAAAGCATTTATTATGTATATTTTAACAAGTAAGAACTAAAAAAACAAAATAACTACTGATTACTCCTCAACTCTGTACATGTATGTATCTACATACGTACACCTACACAAGTACAGAGTTAAATAATATGTATAAGGACCACACCAACAAAAAATTAGAAAATTACTGTGAATGTAAACATGTAAACGATGTAAAACTAAAAATGAGGGCACTTGGCAGAAAGACAATAGAGTGTAGAGAGTAGGGATGGGCAGAGGCAAGAGGTTGGCAAAAAAAAGGAAATTCCCAATGATGGATATTGTGGCAAAGGGGGGGAAAATGAATGATATTATTCATCACAAGGTGGTACAGTAAGGATTGACAGGTCAGCACGATCATAGACAGCCAAACTATAGAATCACATGATCATGATCAAATTGAGATCTTAATTTTAATAGTTATGCTGCTTCCTGTTTTATCAGGCTCCTAAGATAACATTACCTATTTTTCCCATACTGACATAAGTAGAGCCCCTATTTGTTTGATCAGTGTGGGGGATAAACAGTGTCCGTACCTACCAAATTTTAATTTAGTATTCTATAATTTATTATAATTATTTAACATAAACCTAATCCTTTCCCAACTATACACACGAGTCTTGGTTAATATATGTTTTTGTTTTACTGTATGTAACTTCAATTGAATGCTAATAGATGGACAAAGTTTTAAGCAAGACAGCTTTTAAACGTAAATTTTACTCTCGTTTGACTTTTTGTTTCCTAAATGTTTTTTGAAATAAATAATTTTTCATGCTGTCATTCAAATTTTTCTTTTCTTTTTTCAGGATGTTATGAAATACATAGAAGTCCTGAGATCACAAGCAAAAGCAGAAAATCCCCAAACTCATGACTCCAAACATTTGTAGGGGTAAAGGCCTTGTTCATTTGTTGGAAAGAAAAACGATCACGGAGCACAACACTATTTTAACTACCATTCTTTATTTTTGCTCTATTATTGCCTTTATTGTTACTTTTATGTCTTTGTTAGCCTGTGGATGTGATAATATTTGAAGTTAGTGTTAAACTATGAAAAAGTGTTGTGATGAATTTATTTGAAATGTAAGTGACATTTTTATTTTTATTTTTGAATTGATATTTACAACTTTTAGAAATATGTAAGGTATTCATGAATAACACCTTATGTTCAGAATTTTATGTGATTTAATGAATACACAAAATTATTTCCCAAGAACTTATTTATTTACATAGAAAAGTGATAGTTTTATTTTGATGTGTTTTAACTTCACTTTGTGCGTAAATGATTTTTTATGGATATGTTTCAATGAATTGATTCCATTATTAACTTTTAAAAGTTTTAACTTAGTTCCTTTTTGTGGATATGTTTATACTAAAAAGAAAAATTATTCATTTTTTTACTTTTACAAAATTTATGATTAAAGAATATATTAATAAATAATCAAACTTTGTACCATATCGTCTCCAAAATATAAAAAAGGGAGATAATTATCAATATATAATTTAAAAAATTAAATGTTTCTTGTCTTTTTCTTTTTCTTTTTTGAAATTATTATAAACATCAACATGCAAATAATTGTTACCTGTCTGACTACTTACATTGCTTTAATTTCAGATTTAAATGTTAACATTTTGATGATTTTTTTTCTTGCCAAAATGCTAACATTTTTCTTGCCTAACTGCATTCATAAACTATTTTAAGCTGTAATTTCTTTAGATTATTTTGTCATATTTTCTCAATAACCCTGTTAACTTACCAATGTCAAATAACGGGTTTCACCTGTTGTGATTTACTTTGTTATAAGATCAAATATCTGTGAAATACACGTAGTGTTAAAAGCAGGACCGGCTCAAAACAGTAATATATGTTATTAGTTAGTCAAAAATTAACCTTTTAATTTGTGACTTCCTAATGAATTACATATTTCTGGTTTTGTGTGCTATCCTCAATTTTTTCATATAATTAAATATATTTTGTATTTATATAGTGTATATTTAATTAAATAATAAAAACAAGGCACGCATTTTTTTTTATTGTATCATAACACAACAAAACTAATCGGCAATTACACTGATGTAACATTTCATGTGAGTTTTATTAATTACAGAGTTAAATCATATTTCTTATTGGCATGGCTGATAACTCAAAATAATTTAATTTTAGAATAACATGTTGACTGCATGCTATGCTTGGTCAGTTTGGTTGGCCCCAGCAGAACCCAATTTATCACGTAAAATAGCTCTCTGGTACTTAAAAATAATTTAAAGATTTTTTTGTATTTTATCTACATGATATAAATTATATGACACAACAGTTGTTTCTCCACAGCTCTATGTAAATAAAGAAGGCAACCCACAGAATGTCTGTTCAATTTGGGTGTGTAATTGAAAAAAGTCATTTCTACTTTCTACTATAATTTTTCCTTTTTTTGTACGTAATCATTCAAAGTGGATAAGTAATTAAAATAAACTTGTACACAGAAAAGTAAATGGCGTGGTTGGTAAACAGGTGGTAAACACAAAAATGGCTTATTTGTAACTGTAAATGTCTGGTCATGTACCAGGGGCTCACTAAAATCAAGACGAGGGTTAATAAATAGGTAATGATAGATAAAGATTGTAACTACTAATGGCATATGGAGAATAATTTTATATTGGATTATTCATTATATATTCTTTGTTTGGTTTCTGTCAGGCTGTTTACCACAAAATTATTTTCATTTTTGGAAAATAATTCTTGTCATAGTAACGTGGTTAATAACAAATGAAAATACAATTTGGATGAAACGTGTATTTGCAAGCCTTGAAAGCTTGAAGGCTAAATACAATCATAATTATACTCATCCAAATTCTGATCTTGCAATTTCACCCATTCTTTTTAATTATACCTCCTCCTTATATAATCATAAATGAAATTACATTAGAGCAATATGGAAAAATGAAAATGTATAAAATAATATTCCAAAATATTTCTTGTTTTCCTGGATTTACCTATTGCTGTTATAATAATTGTTCATAACTTTTTCTCTTTTAACACACTTTTAACAACACCCTTGCTTGAGTGAATATTATCATTTTAATAATGAATAAGTGTGACCATCATAATTGATTTTATTAACCCAATTATATTGAAGGTATAATTAGACATCTCCAACGTCTATCGGAATTGGGAAAACAACAGTAGAATCCTGTTCAGTAGCTATACTGCTTAAAGTTTGAAAATATCTTAATTGCAATGCTTCTTTCTTTTCTGAAATGATATCTGATGCTTTCCTCAGGGCTTGTGATGCATTGAGTTCCCCTTCAGCTCCTATAACTTTTGCCCTAGCGTCTCTCGTAGCTTCTGCTTCAGCTGCCATCGCCCTTTGCATTACGATTGGCAAAGATATATCACTGAGTTCAACGATCTCAACAATGACTCCCCAGGCGTCGGTTCTAATGCCTAGTTCACTTTCTATTTCATCTGCAATCTGGTCCCTGAATTGAAGTATTTCATTCAATGTCCTTTTCCCCAGTGAATTTCTGACAGTTATTGCTGCCAGGAGCTGAGTGGCAAAAGAGTAATTACTAATTTTAATACAGGCTAAAAGTGGGTCTTTTACTCTGTAAAACACTATAGCGTCGACAAAAACTGTACAAGAATCTTTAGTTAGAACTTCTTGAGGTTGAATCGAAGTAGACACAGTTCTCAAATCAATATTTATAAACACATCTACACATGGTATGATGAAGAAGATTCCTGGTCCTCTTGCGCCCTTTGTCCTCATTCTTCCTAACCTGAATATTACAGCTCTTTCATATTGATTTACAATTTTTACAGAAAGTAAGAGAGAAAATGGAAATGTAATTATTATCAAAATTATAGACAGAACGACACAAACTACCTCAACAAATGGTGTCTTGCTGGATTGTATTTCTTTTAGATCAGTCTGTTCCTGGCCATTGTGCTTTGGGTCTTGCATATTTTTTCTGTAAAAATTTTCAACTCCAGTATTAAAATCATCTGTTTTCTATTTATTTCAATACAATTTCAATACCTAAATCAACGTATTTCATTTGCCATGTACTACTATGTACATGCCAATAAGCCTGGTTTAAGTGATGAGATCTAGTTCCTAACCCTATGTTACACTCATAATTAAAAACTATCAAATTTTACCTTTCAATTTATTCAAAATTTTTAAAATCATTTCAATGATTTTAGAAGTGTACAGGTTTATCAACATTCAGCGTGCACTTTGTTAATTTCTGTTTTATGTTATTCATAATCGTGGAATTGTCACTTGAAAAATCATAAGTAAATAAAAAATATGATACCATATAATTAGGTTTAAACAAAATTACAGAAAAAGGAAAAATATAGTCAGCTAATTTATTAGTAATAGTAATAAAACTGAAAACTTGTTAAAATGGTTGTTCTCTGATGTCAAAGGAAAGAAGAAAACTTCATACATTGGTTCTTATTTATATACTTCTCTGTTTTTAATTACATATTTTCCTTTAAAACATTTTTTAAACTTTAAATTTGGAAAATCATAGCATGGGGAAAAGAACAACTGAATTAGAATTACAATACGATAACAATTAATTGGAAGTATGAATTATTAAATAAAAGATACCTGTAAATATATGAAGTTGACATAATTGATAGGATACAAACAAAACAACTGAAAAAGATAATTTTTTTTTTATAAATTTTTAAAAGGCATAGCTGCCTTAAAGCATCCATCAATGCAGCCTCTGCACCGCACGAACCAGAGGGGCCACGGCCCTAGAGAGGAGGAGGCCTGGAGGTCCAGCCGCATTGCAGAGGGATGAGCACTCTATAAACAGCGTGACGTTATTGCTGAAGCTGAACTAAAGTTGTTTCGGCTCTTCCGAAAGGATGTGCATGGGCTGTAAACATACACATCCCTCAAGAGCCAGGGTATTCTTTTTCATCCATATGCAAAGCGCTTGACCCCCCCTCCCGCCCACACAAATGGCAAAGGCCACACTAATTTATATCCTGTTCATTAAATCAACAGTCTTAAAATATTGGAAAATTTGATCTATGGTATCTGGATCGTCTTTTAGTATGTTATAGAGGGTTGTGGTGTCTGTAGGCTGAGTAGATTGGACAGTACAGAAGAATGTGTTTTGTTGTAATAATCTCATTGCTACAAGGACAGACAGGGGACAAGGTTTAACTGTTTGTTTTATTTCTCTAAGCTTATTTTCCCCAACATCGTGCCAGTCTTTTTCCCATCTATACCAGATTTCTGATTTTATATTTGAAATATAATCGTCCCCTGGAACTTCTCTTACTAACTGCCCTGATAATTATTAGTAATATCCAAGGTAACTAGCATAACAGTAGTGATATGTAATTGTAAATATTAAACAGAGCTATGTGTGTATACAGACGATAATGAAATACATAAAATGGATATGAAAATAGTGATCTAGACATTTATATCTTGAGTACAGAAATTAATTGATTTTTAAAAATGCTAATATTATCTTGGTATGAGAGGTGTGGATAAGAATTGGCTGTGTGCATTAACCTATTCATGGGACTTTCTTTGATGTCTATGATGGGAGGAATTCTTTTATGGGTGGAATTGAAATTTTTTTATGTTTCTGGGATGGGAGCTGGGGTGTGGCTGAAAGGAGCCACTTTTGGAGGAAGTGGATAAAAAACATTTACAATATACATCTATTGAAAAGTAATTTAAATTTAAATACAACATTGTTACACAGTTTTACAAAGGGAGGGAACTGTGTAGATTGTTGTGGGAAATTTGAAATAAAAAATGTAAAAATAAACATGGAGAGAAATGCATAAATAATAAAATAGATTTTGAATTACCTTTTATTTTAAACATGTACCTAAATAATATTTGGCTTACAAATTAATCACTAATTTAAAATTAATTTCTTACAGTATTTATTAGGATAATATTTATCTGTGCTTTAATAAAAGTTTTGAGAACGTTCAAAATTGAGCGACATTAAAAACCAACTTCTCATTGGAACGTCGCGTTGCCGGGTGATCGGCGGCGGCGGCGGGTTCACTATTACAATTCATGTCGAGAGACATGTTTGTAACTCCTTCACTCTGATGATGGGCGTTTAATGTTTGAAATCTTCATCGTTGCAAAGAACAAATCTGAGAG